GGAAGACGTATGTTGCTAATCGAGTTGCTGCAGTGCAAGAAGTTTCGCAGAAGCTGCAAGTAGAATGGCGTCACTGTCCAGGAGTTAGCAACCCTGCAGATCTTGTCTCGCGTGGTGTCCCAGTGTGTGACTTGCAGAAGGAGATGTGGCTGCATGGTCCGTCATGGTTGAGCGATGAGTCTCAGTGGCCACCAGTCATCTCGTTTCAGAGCACCAATGAGTCCGTCACCGAAGCACGCGTGTCGGCTGTGGAGGTTGACACTCCAGTTGTTTGGCCGTGGGAGAAGTTCTCCAAGTGGCAACGAGCTCGCGGTTTGGTCGCAAGTATGCTGTCATGGCGACACAAGGGTGTTTCGCGTGCAGAATTGATTCCATCTGCTGAGTCTGTGATGTTTCGCGCCATCCAAGAGCAATGCTTCCCCAAGGAGTTGTCCCAGTTGCGGAGCAAGGAGCCACTGAAGAAGGGTTCGAAGCTGTTCAAGTTGTCTCCGTTTCTGGATGAAGCTGGTTTGCTCAGAGTTCGTGGTCGTCTGCAGGAGAGCGATCTGTCCTACGAGGTTCAGCATCCGATCATCCTGGGCAGATGTCATCTAAGTGAGTTGTTTCTGCGTGATGCTCACCTTCAGCGAATGCACCAGGGTGTAGAGAGCGTGCTTGCGTTTCTACAACAGCAGTTCTGGATTCTCGGAGCTCGTCGGTTTCTTCGTAGCGTGTCGGAGAAGTGCATTGTTTGCCGCAGATTTCGCGCACAGACTGCTGCTGAGGAGATGCCGCCGTTGCCCTCAGACAGGGTGAAGCACCACCAGCCATTCGGTCTCACAGGTATTGATTATGCAGGTCCGCTGTACGTGCGCAGTTCATCAAATGTTCAGAAAGTGTGGGTCGCACTCTTCGTGTGCGGTACTACTCGCGCAGTGCACCTAGAGCTCGTGGATAGCCTGTCGACAGAGGTGTTCCTGCTAGCATTGCGTCGTTTCATCGCCCGTCGTGGGAAGCCGCTGCGTATACGTTCAGATAATGCTACGACGTTCAAGTCCGCCGCAGACAAGGTGGCAATCCCGTGGTTCTTCAATCCGCCATCTGCCCCGTGGCATGGAGGGTTCTATGAGCGTCTGGTGGCATGTGTGAAAGCTCCCTTGAAGAAGGTTCTCGGTCGAGCGTCATTGAGTCGAGACGAGCTGTTCACTGTCTTGACGGAGATCGAGAGAGTCGTCAACTCTCGACCCCTCACTCCGGTTTCTACGGATGTAGCTGACGAGTCGCCGCTGACTCCAGCCATGATGTTGGGAGACATCTTTGCAACCGGTATTGCCTCGTCTGACAGACCACTCGATCCACGGCAGTTGTCCGCTCGAGTCAAGTATGTCCACACCGTCTACGAGCACCTCAACCAGCGTTGGTCGTCTGAGTATCTCATTCGTCTCAGTGAGTATCATCGGTCGAAGTCAACTCCGCTTGTCGTGAACGACGTTGTGTTTATTGCCGACGACAACCGGAAGCGGCAATCATGGCGCTTGGGTAGGGTCGCAGAGCTGTATCCTGGAAGAGATGGCAAGTGCAGGGTGGCCAAAGTCCAAGTTGGCCAATCGTCCATGCTACGGCCCATTCAACGCTTGGTTCCGTTGGAAGTAGCGAAGGAGCATGTTGAGCCGCCTGCTGTGGACGCTGAGCCGCAGCCGCAGACACCCGCGAGCGCTGATCCAGTCAACGTCGTCAATGATGTTGAAATACCTTCGACGACCGTTGAGCCGCAAGTTACGCGTCGATCTCGTCGTACCGTTCGACCACCACCTCGTCTTGATTTGTGATCAGTGTGGTTGAAGCCCTTTGGTGGGGAGAATGTTGTGTATCGTGTCGGAGAAAGGTCTTCTGGGGTGTCGTCGAGATCTCGTTGCGACCGTGACTCCTGCTTGTCTCCCTGGCTAGGTGCTGCTTGCTTTGCTTTTTTGCGTAGTGTTTTTGATTATTGTTTACTATTGCGTATTGTTAGTGTTCGTTGTGATTTGGTACAGTACTTGTTACGAGATACGACACATTGTGTAGTGTGTGTTTGCAGCACGAAGAAGACTGCTCACCAGAACGGTTAGCTCAGGAGCTTGGGCTTACCTTGTGCAATCACAGTTCATCAGCTTGGACATTGCGCTTGGTCCCATGCGAATAACCGACTAGAATAGTAATTATTTCTTCGTTGCATTTTTGAATTGTGTTCTTGCTAGCTCGTTGATTTATTTAGTTGATGTGTTGATTTGTGTTTGATTACTTATTTATTTGATGCGCGATTTATGTGCGCTGATTGCGTGATGGCATGCAATTATGATCATGCTTGCGCCAGCTAGCTAGATGCCTGCGCCGCGCACTGATGTTGAATGAGTTAGTATGCGCCCCGCGCTGTTCATGCATATATGGTACATGGTGTGTAATGTTTGCCGCACACGCGTATACGTGCCTCGCCTCGTACTGCTTATGTGCCGCGCGCCGTACTATTGCTGTCGCTTTGCCGCCAAATTTAGCTTCCGCTTTCCGAGCGCTGTACGCTCTTCTGTACGCTCATGCCAAAGTTGGACGCACGTTGTGGCTGGCCAGCGTTTTACCCCTCATGCGTTGTTCTTTTCCTTGATGCTGTGGTTTGTTTTCTTTAGTGTTCTAGAGTTCTCTTTCCGATGTAGTTCGTATTTTTCCAGTCTCTTCTTCTCAATGTATTCTACTGTTCATTCATTATAGTCCGTAAAGAATTACGTGACCTTTTGTCTTGTGGCGTCTGTGCGATCCTGAAACTTTTGAGGTGTTAGTAGTGAACACAACATTTTGGCGACTCAAATTTTGTGCACGCGCACATGTTGTCCAGGCGTCAGGGGCCCAGCCTCCCTGCCCATCCGACCCGCCACACACAACAACGAAACTGAACTGAGAGTTCTACATAATTTCTTGACAAGACGGAGACGGACAGACAAGAAGACCGGACACGACGAGGTAAACTGAAAACTGAAGAAAAAGACTAACATTTATGGCAGCATACGAGCATGCGAGCAACAAAAAACAACGTATGAGAATGACGTAACCGTCACTTGGATCATGTACAAACTATACATGCAACCAAAACCAGTCAAAGCAGAACGCAAAACAAACCAAAATAAACGAAAGGACCACAACAAAAATGAGCCATGAAAAGTCTTTCTACCGATACACAACATATTCCCCACCAAAGACCTTTTCAGGGCTCTACGAGGACTGCGAACACTGTGCCCTACGAGTATACGCCGCAAGCGTACTAATCAAACTAACTACAAGAGGCAACAAATAAACGATCGACACGCCAACAAAACTCCAACGAAAGTCAACGTCCGACCAGGGACAAACAAATCAAACTCAAACAAATCGAGCAAACCGAACTACCAAACTCGAACTACCAAACAACTCGAGCAAAACAAACTAATCAACAACTCGAGCAAACCGAACTACCAAACTCGAACTAACAAACAAATCGAGCAAACCAAACCACTCAAACAAATCGAATCAAACTAATCAACAAATCACAGCAGGAGCACCTTCCAAACTCCGCGTCACACTCACATGGGGTTATTTGTTCACGATGCGTTTTCCTTCGCACCGTCCTTGTCGTAGGAACCAGCCACTCCTCGCAGACGTTTATCCGTCTTCGTCTGCCCTCAGCGCATTCAGCTCCACCGACTTCCGTCGTACCAACCTCGTCGTCTTCACCAGCCACCTCGCGGGACGTCCCTGCCCTCAGCGCATTCAACTCCGGCGGACCAGCCACTCCTCGCAGATGTTCATCCATTTCATCTGCCCTCAGCGCATTCAGCTCCGACGAGCCAGCCACTCCTCGCAGACGTTTCCTCGCTCAGCGCCTTCAGCTCAGACGACGTCGTTTTGGTGATTTGTTCTCGATGCGTTTTCCTTCGCACCGGAGTTCCTTCCAGTTCCTCGTCTCCCTGACAATCCTGGCGTGGTCGCCAAATTTTGTGCACGCGCACATGTTGTCCAGGCGTCAGGGGCCCAGCCTCCCTGCCCATCCGACCCGCCACACACAACAACGAAACTGAACTGAGAGTTCTACATAATTTCTTGACAAGACGGAGACGGACAGACAAGAAGACCGGACACGACGAGGTAAACTGAAAACTGAAGAAAAAGACTAACATTTATGGCAGCATACGAGCATGCGAGCAACAAAAAACAACGTATGAGAATGACGTAACCGTCACTTGGATCATGTACAAACTATACATGCAACCAAAACCAGTCAAAGCAGAACGCAAAACAAACCAAAATAAACGAAAGGACCACAACAAAAATGAGCCATGAAAAGTCTTTCTACCGATACACAACAACGTTATTATCTTGCGTTTGAAAGCCCTATTTGAATATTGCGGGCAGCTGTATGTGGCCAGCTGTGTTTGATGGTACAGTACGGTACGGGAGACGGTGTCGTATTACCCTCGATCGTACCTGTCCCGTACCTATTCCCTACCGTACCGTGCCATCAAAGACGGCTGGCCACAATGCATATTCAAATAGGGCTTTCAAATGCAAGATCACAATGTGAAACAACTTGGAAGAATGGGTATGAATGCGAAGTGTATGGGGGAATGCATGTAGGGCGATAGTGCGGGTTCGAATCCCAGGATATGCCTGAAAAAAAAATAGGAGAATTGAAAAATTTATAACATCCTATGCTTTTTTGCCATCAGATCACATTGTGAAACAACTTGGAAGAATTAGTATGTATGCGAAGTGTATCGGGGGATGCATGCAGGGCGCGCGATAGTGCGGGTTCGAATCCCAGGTTATGTCTTAAAAAAAGAGGATTTTTTTTAAAAAATTTATAACATCCCTATGCTTTTTTTTTTTGTCTAGGTCATCAAGGCAAAAAAGCATAGCGTAGGGCCCTGAGCTTCCAAGCTCTCTCGTTTATTTGATATCCGGATTCGATCTCTATACCTGAAGGCATGCCACCCGGATCTTTATGATTCACTGCTCAGGCTTTGGGAGAAGGGTATCTTCTCTGCTGAGAGCGCAGGGTCACTCTTGCACACGGTCTTCTACTATGTCGGCAAACTCTTTGGGCTGGGCCTGCACGAGCAAGAGCATCTTATGCTTAGCCAAGTGATGTTTGGCTGTGACTGCCGTGGAAGGTATGCTACATCTTGTTTAACGTTTAAACCATTAATTTTGGTTGTTCACTGTGTTGCCATTGCTTGCTGGTGCGGACGTTTCCGTTTCGTTTTGTCCAATTCCATTGTTCTATCAGGTGTGTTGGTGTAGGAGAGGACACTGCGTACTAAATAAGAATGTGTTTCTACCCTCTGTGATGCCCTTCTTGATTTCAGGTTTGTAAGTTTGGATGGCGGTAAAAACAAGGTCCGCCAGGGTGCTCTGGAGCAGCATAGCGCTGCCTTCGAATCCGTCCAGCACTATGACGGCACTGAAGGTGTCGACGTTCATTTCCTGCACGGTGAGCAGCAGAAGACGGCCACAGTGCCTGTCTTGGGCCTTGTCCACCTGGTTAGCATGTATTGTAATCACATAGCACAGTTTGCCGCCGAGACAGGTGACACACGCTTCTATCACAGGCCGCTTGTGAGCAGTGGCAAAGGCTTGCCTTGGTTTAGCAAGCTATCGGCCGGGCACCACGCTCTGGCAAAGATAGTGCCCGAGATTACTAGAGCCGGCGGGTTGCACGGGAACTTCACATCGGATACTCCGAAAGCCAGCTGCCCCGTCCATTTGCTCGCAAAGGACCCGGACGGACAGCCAATAACAGAAGAAGCAGGGCCGCAGTCGGTCAATGCTGTGCACGAGCGGGCTGCCGAAGAGCTGATGAAACTAGATTCCAACACCCTAGAGCCTGCGGCTAAGCGGTCGATGATGATGATCACCGGTGACAATGCCAGTGTTCCCACCGTGATGCCAGGCAAGCCGTATTTCCCTGACATTGACATATCTAGTGGCTTTCCACTGCCAATGGCAGTGTCTAGCAGAACGTGATTGTCATTTGACTCTGTTGGATTGCTACTTGTACTGTCACTGTATGTTGCATAACAGTATAATCCAACCTTGAGTGGGTACTTGCAAAACATCCCAGCCTGTTTTATTTCCCATGGTATAACAACGAGAAAAGCAAAGACAATTAATAGTACAATTAACTCGAAAAACAAGCACCACGCGAAATATCTATTGAATATACTGGGCGTAAGCGGCACTACTCGAAGTAGTTTGTGTGCAGACAACAGTTATTGCTCTAGTGCTAGTTGCAACCGCATTCCTTCTTTCCTTTTACGTTTTTTAACACTTCAGCGTTCGTCCCCGTTTAATATAGTGTCAAATCCTTTGTCGGGCCGTTGATTTCGTGTGGTCCACCAGTCTCGTCTCGGTGCCGTATTCTGTGTGTGATAGAAGGTAGTTAGCGGTTAGCTGTGTGCCACTCACTACATTTCCGCAGATTTCCTACTAACTTGATGAAACAACTAAACACACACTAGCATTCTCAGCAGTATACGCCTGCTGCGCCGGTGGTTTTGATTAGAGTGAAGAGGAAGGGGGCGCCTCCCTAGGGTCTGGGTGGTGTTACAAGCATTTTTATTCTGCGGACATAGACCAGAAGCATGTACTGTAGTAAAGTGGAGCTTGGATGTAGTGACACTCCAACACTGGCAACACTGGCAAGAAACATGCTCTTATTAACTTATACTGGATACCAGTATGTCAATAAAACTGGTCCCGGCATACTGACAACACTGTTGCCGGCAACCTGTCGCTGTTGTAATGACCAATGTCGTTATATCCAAGCTTCGCAACAACAAGAGGACGAAGAATGTGTTGTGACGCCGGTGTTCCACCATGCACTATGCAATCATCAGACAACAGACTATCCAAGCTTCACTTTGGGAACTCTAACTCTGAACAGCCGTGCAGTGTTGGTCCGAATCAGCAACTTCCTCCATCGCCGCCCTGCATTACTACATGTACTAGTAGTAGTGCAAAAATGCATCACCTACAATAGCATCATAGTTCATACGTCACTGGACTAGGCTGGCAGCATATGTCTGGCAGTGCTGTCGAAAAGATTTACCATAAATGTCATGAAAGCAGCACAACTGACAGCTATGACTCATTACACTGGCATCACCTGGCTATGTGTTCCACTGGGAGTTTTGCTCTTTCAACATATTGCCATTATTGGTTGCCACATCATTCACAGTTACAGGGCGCTTTCCCACACCGGTATGTCCCATCAGTTGTCCCTTGTACCATTTGCTAATCCTTCACTGGATACTTGTACACGGTCTGCATGCGCGGCCTGGCCACCACCCAGATGCATATAATTATAAGATGGGTTGGCTTGTTTGTTTTTTTCATGTTTACCTGGTATATCTGGTCCCGGCTGAAATAGATTGGGCAACCAAAAAAAGATTCAGACATGTGCTTTATGACTTAATTTTAAGGCATCTCCATTGATCAGTGGTTGTAGCCGTGGTAGCAGCGTAGCATCACTGCCATCAGACTTGGTGATTGGTGAAACCATGAAACTCACAGTTACAGTAGAAACGCTTTGTTTCCTTCTTTTTATGTGTACATGTATACTACAGATAAGTTGAACAAAGCCTCATGCCCCAAGACAGGGGGATGCCTTGTTCCTACTTCAAAAGTAGTTGCATCCCACACTACAATACTTGTACACGTACCCGGTCAAGCTTGAATAATGGCATTGGTAATACATCATTATTATTGTGTCAATATAAATGATGATGATGCCGAGCACTGCCCTAGGTATGGGTTTGAATGATGCCTTTTGATGGCACAAATACTAGTATGCTGCTTGCTTGCTTGCTTGTTGGCTCACAGTCAGTAGGCCAGTGTCTGGGTGTCCTGGACCAAACCCAGGGTCAGGACGTACTGTACCCAGTGCTACCCACTTAGTCCGTCTTGCCAGTTCTTTATGGTCTGTTGTTGTCTGGGTAATGTCGCCTGATCTGCCCGGCAATTGGCTATCACACATGTACTAGTACTCTCCCTTCTACCTAGTAATAATGTACTGAAGTAGCTAGCAAGTACTGAAGTAGCATACAACCAGTCTATGGTCCAATAGACAGACTGACAGTGCACTCAGTGACTGTTCAGCTACTGAGGTAGCCCACGTTGCCTGATTATAATTGGAGATTAGGCTGGCGCTACTCTGTAGATCCACAGTAGACGGTGGACACCACCACGTAACAACATTGCAAAGTGCACAAACAGTGACAACAAAAGATGGCAACCAAAACGCCTGCCATCAGTGCAGTCATCGTGGACTGGAAAAAACAACGTAATAATATCTTACCCTGGGCTACACGTACTGGATCATGGAGCATGGCGCCATGGCATGGGCCATCAGAAGAGCTCATTCTTATTCTAGTCTTAGCCTTACTCAGTGCGTCTGTGAATCTACAGACCGGCTTCAGCGAGGAAGCTATAATTATTATAATGAAGTATGATCGACCGCAAAGCTTGCTTGCACTGGCCCTAGTCAGGCTACATCATAAGTAGATACAGAAAGCTAAGACCTCCAGTGCTCCACTGGGCATAAGCCATAACCATGATAACCCGACTCTTGGTATCAGTGAGCCTACTGTCGTGAGTAAGGGGGGGGGGGGGGGCCGGGGGCTGCAAGACTTAGTGCAACAATAAAAAAAATGTAATGCCTAGACAATCACACGTGCTGTGACAAACTGGACTGAAGCCTCAGGAGAAGAATATCAAACACTGGCGCTTGGCAAAAGTCGTCTCCTACTTTCTTACCGGTGTTGGTTTGTGTGTGATTGGCACAGTATTCCTGCTTGACGAAGTGGCAGCGGTGACTCGAGCCGGATCCGCAGACCTTAGAACCAGCACTTGTGGCCATACCAGAGGCAGAGCGCTGACGCCGAGCGATCGACTTCGTATTCCGTCCCCGGCCCTGCCCTTTCAAGCCCCTTGCACTAGCGCCGCGCTGAGAAAATACAACAGGTCAAGTCACTGAGGAGAAAACAGTATTATTTGCCCATCAGCATCGCTATGTCTCAGGCTAAGTATGGAACAAACACGAGAACCACCAACACGCGGGACGACCCAGGGAGTCGCTTCTCCAGCCTGAAGGAAGACGCAGAGAATCGGAGAACGTTCAATTTTCACCTGATCCGCCACTCGGACATGGCGGACGAGATGCGAGCGGATGTGACGGAGTTGTGCGGCACTGCAGGCGAGAAGCATCCCACAAACGTCGTCAACATGGCCCGGATGATCAAGGACACCCTCGATGGGAAGTATGGTCCCGGATGGCACGTGGTCATCGGCGAGGGCTTCGCTTTCGAGGTGACACACGACATCGAGGGAATCCTGCTGATGTATTTTCAGGGCAAACTGGGCATGCTAGTGTGGAAATGTGAGGCGCAGTAAATGAAGAACAGTAGCTGTTTCTCATACGCATTTACATCGCTATCGTCTACGCTAACCGGACCCTCTCCCGATAGGTGAGAGCAAGAATTGGTCATGCAGTTAGGATGGTGGGGCTATTCCTTTTGTTTCTGACTATAATTATTACATGTGGAACATAATGACTGTCACCAAGAGTACACAACAACTCTTCAACTTGCTGGCACCTGTTCCGACAGTCAATCCCTGTGAACCATGCATTAGATGAAGAACTTCTCTCTTCCTTCTTTCGACCAGTGAGAGTTGACACGATACCCCGCCCTCACAGCAGGGAAAGTCCATACCATAATGTCGCGTATAAAAGCAGGTGCTTACGGCCGGCCGTATAAGCCGGGGTTCAAACCATGCTTCTACTCAAAGGGGAAGTTGAGGCTAAAATCAAAATGTCACCAGTTGTAGTCTTCGGGGTGCTGGGTGGAATGGTCTTGGTCCGAGAAAGCTGAGACGCTCCCTTCCTACTTGAATCCCAATCGAACTCGCGCACTTCCACCGAAACTGGGTGACTGCGCCCTACTAGATGGGGATTTGTATGCAAAATGTCACTAAAAGCGCCATTTCGTTCTTATAAAAGCACGGATGACCGCGATTGGCCCATATGTTGTAGTCTTTTGGACGCTGAGTCGACTGGCTTTGGTCCGAAAAGGCTGCGATGCAGCGTTCCTTCTTTATTCCCAATCGAACATGGTTGAACAAGCGGTCACGTGCTCCTGGGTGCCCAAATCACCTGGTCACCACGCCAGCAGGCGACAACTTTCACACCAAGGTTCAACTCGAGTTCAACTCGAGTGACAGGACTGCACCCAAAAAAGGTCAAACAGGCTAGTAAGTTGTACCCTGCTTCTATGTCATGCTTTTTTACAGGTCATGCTTTTATACGCGACACTACAGTAAGTCTCACCCATCAGGGCCATCACGCTGTCCAATTCCATACCTATACTGGTTGCAACACTACTACAGTGGAGATTGGATATAACGACACTCCTTCGGGAGAGAACAAAATGTCACTATATTTGATCTGTCACTAAAACCCGACTTTCCAATGTCAAATCGAATAGCAATATGTATATCAAAATGTATCAAAATGTATATCAAAATGCCAGGAATTGATTGCAGATGCGCATGTGCATAATTGCCTGATGATCGTAGTAATACGTGAAACTCAGAGTTGTGACAAAGCTTCCAATCTCTCTTGTGTGCATAATTCATATACATGTACTTTGATATAGATTTCAGATGTACATGTACATGTACTTTCCATCCGAGTCCATACATAATACATGTATGTGTCACTACGGCATGTACACGTACATCGTACTTCGGCTCTGCAGTACAGACAGCACGGTGTACCACACGCTTGGCATTGATCCTCGCATGTGACACAGACATGTTCCATGCATGCCAGTCCAAATGATAACGGAATTGTAGCCTGTGTATGGCCCTATGGGGAAAAGTCGTTATACTCGATGCATTTTTCAGGCCTTCGGGCACCAAACATGTGTCACCAAATCCCATCTGTCGTTACTTCCGCGATTGTTATACCTGATCTAAAATGTACACACTGTGTATGCAAATCACCAGCAGGCAGCATGATCATGGCAGATATCCGGATTGCGCGCACGTGTACGCTATCCTTCGTTTGTACGTAGTACGAATGTATCAGACACGTCATGTGAATTTTCGCCGTCGGAGGCCCTATGCACAGTTGCACACCCTTGTGAGGTTATTACACTCTTGTTATGCGTAACTAAAGGCCGATTCACGATACTACTTTTTGCTTACAAGAAAATGCCTGTCGTGTACAGTCGCAAGGCACCTGTCGCAGAAGTTGAAAAATCGACTTTTGCAACGTGCGACATACACATAAATTGAGTACAGTTTCTACTCTGGGTGCACATGCACCGTACATCCACTGCGCATAGGGATGTCGCAAAAACATAAAATAATTATAGCGAATTGTGTCGCGGCCACAGGTTCCGCAAGTCGCAGGTCGTGTCTGAACTTTGGTGTGCAAGTTGTAGCCAGCAGGCACGATGACCAGGCGACTGGTGTACGCACGAGCACATGACCGCTTACTCACCCGTGTTCGATTGGGAATAAGGGCCGGACGCATCTAGTAGGGCACAGTCACCCAGTTTCGGTGGAAGTGCGGGAGTTCGATTGGGAATAAAGGAGGAAGGGAGCATCTCAGCTTCCTCGGACCAAGACGATTCGACTGGCAAGAGAGTGCAACCTTGAGCTGTGATGGACTCGCCCGTTGCGTGTTTTTTATTGCGTCATTTTTTGGCAGAAGTTTGATCAAGTGCGCATGCCTTACCGCGGTCTCGCCAGTTGGAAGAGGATAATGGAGTTGATGCCGAAGCCACACGTGCGGCACATTGTCACCACACACAGCATAGCACAGGTAGTTTTTTTTTAAACTGCTCTTCCCCGCAGTGGGGCTTGAATGAGAACAAACGTTAACCTGAACAGCAGGTCAGTTGGAACAGAGAGCAGAAGAAGAGAGTGAGAAAATGTGGAAAGTTTGAGCTGAGCAGTAAGCCAAGCCACCGGTGGGTCTCAACACAAGTTGGCCAGAAAGTAACGCTGGGCGGAATGCATATGCTGGTCAACAGTAGCCTTCGCTGAAGAAGAAAACACGCTGGAAGTATAAAAAAAGAGGATTCCTTTGCTTCGAGCCCTAGGCCCCTGCTACAGGGTGACGACAGTCATGCATTGTGGCAATTGTAAATAGAAATGATGAAAACCGCTAGGAATATGAGTGTTGTGAATTTTGGCTAGTTGTGGGATAGTGCATTTTCCTGCATGATTGTACGCGAACATAATTCTGAGGAGTAAAATGGGGCATCAGTGGAAATCAAGCCTTTCACAGCAAGAATACGTGCTACGTGCACCCAGAAATAGAGGCGGTCAACTGAATAGAACTCGCGTGCACGCAGTAAAAAACTCAAACAGAATAGTGGTGATAAAACGAGATGATTGGATAATGTGCGGAATAGTGTTGTGCATTATGGTTAAGTATGGATAATGTAGGAAAATAGTGAGGTGTTCTGCTGTAGTTAGAAGATAAAACAAATCAAAAAAGATTAAAAACCAGACAGGAGAAGAGAGGCACAAATAAAAGACCAGAAAGGACATTGGGTTAAAACAAAGCAAGGGCATGTGGATTTACCCTCACACACACACACGCACACGCACAAACGCCCTCACACACACACACACACACACGCCGGTGAACAAAGGAGCATAGGAAACATACGGGGTCAGGAATATGGGCGAGCGGCATGCTCCCATGCCAAAAGCAACTCCCAGGAACTGATTTGTAAAAAAGGAAAAGAAAAAGGAAAACAACGCCAGCGAAAACAAGAGAGATAAAGTCTTGGTCTTCGTTGTGTCTCTACAGGTGCAGCAGGGGGCGCTAGGCTGATAAATCCCCTGTACGTCTAAGTGCACTATGAAAGTAAAATAAACACAACTAAGTGGTAAAATGGGCCCAGAGCTGCAACAAATTACACACACACACTCCGACAAAGGAGCCAATTCATTGCGCTTCAGGGCCTGCGAAGGCTAATGGGGCCAGAGACTCGTAGCAGACTAGGTGGTACTGTGAAGCTGCCGTCTACTTAGCCAGCAAACTGCATTTTGGAGTGGTTGCCGTTCCCATTGGCTCCATTGACGGTAGTCATGGCGTTGGATAGATGTCTAACAGCATGGTCGGACATCATGTGGATCGACGCCTGCTGCTGCTGTGCGGAGTGCTGTTCTGCTAGTGGCGGCCCGCTGGGCGAAGGCATGACCGACGACATAGAGATGATAGTGTTCTGGTCGGCAACGCTGCTGCTGCCGCCCCCGTTGCTTCCCTGCAGTGACACTGGCGGCGGCGGCACTTGTGACTGCTGCTGCTGCTGGCCATGGGTGACAGCAGACTGCTGTACAGATCCCATCGCGCTGCCATTGCCGTTGGCTCGCCCGTTGGCAAGAATACGGGGCGGTGACATCGAGAAAGCAAGCTTTAAAGTGAACACCTGACCAGCTGTGAAACAAGAACCAGGCAGCACACAATTGCTATAGACCGCGTGTGAAACAAGAACCAGGCAGCACACAGTTGCTATAGACCGCGTGTGAAACAAGAACCAGGCAGCACACAATTGCTATAGACCGCGTGTGAAACAAGAACAAGGCAGCACACAATTGCTATAGACCGCGTGTGAAACAAGAACCAGGCAGCACACAGTTGCTATAGACCGTGTGCACAATGGTATGGTTCTGATCAAGGTATGGAGCTGCTAGACCTGAACCCACTTTCAGTAGCACCGATCAATGCTCACAATTCAGGAGCCTGATTGGTGGGGAAATAGATTAAAGTTCGATTTAGCGACCCAAAGATTACATCTGAAAATAGCATTGCTGCCAGACTGCCAGTCCAGAGATTCTGTATGCAAGCCCAGTAGATCATGTGGTCCTGGACGCACCCTGTAGAATGCTCCAGGCTCATGCCCCCCCCCCCGAGTCTAAAGCAAAGTGTCTGCTTGCTTTTTCACTGGTCTAGTTTAGGATCGTAAAGACCTTTCAGTCGCTACAAGGATATCTAAAAGAGCTGGATTTCTTACCCGGACTCTTCCTGGTGGACATTCGGTGAAAAATGCCGAGTCAATTTCAGAGAAAGAGGTAACGAGAGCTGTGGCAGTTTCGTTGACTGGCATGGGATAGCACATCATCGTATGACCAACATGTGTTGATAGCAAGCTCATTACAAAGAGCTTGGTGGAGGGGGGGGGGGGGGGGGGGGGGCAACCTGTTCTTAGACACAGTCATTACCCACGCAGTGACAACACTTACATGCAGCCCGCAGAGGAGTGTGATTGACGAGAGCCATGGCCTCCAATGCTTCCACGGCGTTGGACCACTCCATGAGACCACTAGTGCGTGCACTTTCACCTGGTCAACAACAGCATGGCAAGCGCAGTGACAGTAAGATCAGAAAGGTAGAAAGTTCATTTTGCACACACACACACACACACACACCTTTTGACGCCCATCGCTGGAAGCAATGATAGCTTGCTAAAGCAGAAAGCATAGTAACTTGTGCTGGGATCGCACCATTCAACAGCCCGCAAGACTGAAGAATCGACCGCCAAAAACAGTTTAAAACACCCCCACATGCACCCACCCACCCACAGAGGGTAGACCTTTTTCCATTAGCCATGCTGTGTGGTAAAGCAGCAGGGAGGTTTCGCTCTACGTAATTATGTGCGAAAATTCGCATGTCGTACACGCTGGGAAGCGAGGGCAACTTTCATATGTAAATCTCTCTACGGATTTCCGATATATAATTTTTCGCGTTTTCTGGCTTTATCTAAACCGCACGAAACACAAGGTCCACAACACGCGGATAACACAATGGAGAGCGTGGCTTATGTCCGTGGCACATGCAGTCGACAGGTCTCCAGCGCAACACGGCATGCTTAGCGGTTGTGGAGAAATCACGTAGAGCGAAACCCAAATGCGCGGATTTTCACGCTTGAAAATTACGTGCAGGTCCTACGTTATATTCCTACATAATCATGTTGAGCGAAACCTCCCCAGTATGGATGTGTTCAAACATACCACACAACAGTGTTGCACTGGCATACTGTACAACCTCGGGGGTCTGTCAAATCAAGAGTGGTCTTTTTCGAATCAGCTTCCGGATCGGTTTCCAGATGAAGGATGGATTTTAGGATAGTGTTCAATAAGTCGGAAAATTTGGCAGCACTGTAAATAGCTAATGGATATAGAGCCACCCAGAACTAATGTGTTGTCTCTGGTCACTTTATTGAGCTACAACTGGGTCAGTTGGTCAGGTTCCATTTTCCTTCTACATTACTGTGGGCAGGCATGCATCCCAAGCTTCACACAGCGTACAGTACCTCATCGCTACCTACTTTTCTTGTCAAAGACGGTGATAAGAAGAGGAAGCCGAATAAGTGAGGTCTTAAAAATCTGCAGAAAAAAGACAGTGAAAAACAAAAGATAATGAGCCATAGTCAACTAGAGACCATTCCACCTGATTTGAGAATTACCTCCGTAAGGGACAGTCCGCAAATACCAACATACGTGTACATGGATTTTTGTGATTTCTCCGCACGCCTCCCCTAACGAGCGTACACACACACACATGTTAACCATTGACTGCGTCAATATTCCCGAGTAGATTGATATTTTTTTCATATCAACTGATAAAATGAACATGCACCATACCGTTTTGAGGCCGTCCTCAGTGATGACTGGCGGTGCATTGAAGAAGTGCAAGACCTGAGTTGGAGGAATCATTACTGTTGACCAAAGCAGTCAAGGAGAATGTATGGCATTTCGATAATGAAACCCTACCATGAAAAACAGCAATGCTTAGAGACATGCCAATGCAGAATTCTAGTACATGTACAGGACTTAGTTTCGTAGAGGATGAAAAAAGACTAGTGACATACTATTAATACTGGTAAAACAGTCACACACACGTTTGTACTCGCTCACTGGAATAGGCGAGAGAAATTCGAAAGGAATCTTGAAAGATGACACAATGCTATTGAACCGCCCAACGGGCAACACTCCCTGACATCCCCCAACTCTGGATGGACTTGGAAATGATCCCACTTACGGGCTCGCCACACCACAATACGTGGGCGAGGACAGGGACACACATACGCGCACCCACACCCACAGGAGTAGTGGCAATGGAGGATACAGTTCTTCCTGCTTTGGTTCGCACTCATGAATCTAAGAAAGAAGCACAAAGGGAAACAACAGTGTAAATTCAGAAAAAAGAGAGATGTGTGTGTGTGTGTGCGTGTGCATGTGTGGTACATGATGTGTGTGTGTGTGTGTGCGTGTGTGAAGGGGGGAGGAGAGTAGAGTAAGGCAGTGATACTAGAAGCAGCAGCAGCAACAGCAGCAGACAACAAAGCACAACCAGACAACTGCGACGTACCTGTTGTTACGAGAACTAGCATAATCAATTACTGCTGGTGTTCCGTCGGTTAGCTGGGCGATTAATCCCCGATCCTCGATGGATGAATGATGAGAAAAGCTATAAAGTGGAGGACAAGAAAAACAAGACTTCGTCAACAATCCTGGAGGGAAGAAAGAAGTGGCACAGCTCATTCCCAAACCAGGTCAACCTGGCACTCTCATAGGCACTCTCAACGCCCCCAACTAAGGGTTGGTTCACATAAGCAAAATCGGCGCCGCAAGACATCGCAAGACATTGGCGGTGAGCCAGCTCCCGATCCGTTACGCATACGGTTCGAGTACCAAATCTACTACAAAGTAGTACAGAATGCGCCCAAATGCTACGACAGGTTTGCCAATTGAAGCTTGAATTCTTTCTGTTTCTTCAGTAGTTCAAGGTCTTTCGGTGATGGCCACCCGGTGCTACATTTTACTGGAGATCATGAAACTACTTCTACACCTTTTATTGCAGTCTAGTAAGCGGTGGTGTCGAAATTATGCGTGCAAACGTTGATGAAGTCACACGAACTTGTCTATGTATCCTTCGTATTTTATTTCATTTATTTCAATTGTATTTGTCTCATAAGTTGCACAGCTGTCAACAGTCATGCAGATCATCCGAGAAGGATGGGCTGGTATGCTGAATTAATTTGCCACCTTGAAACGACTACAAGAATGGCAAACGGACCTCATCTTTAGCTTCAATTTAGGAAAATTTAGGATGAGTGTTGGTTCGAAATTTTGACAAAGTCTGGCTCCCGGTACCGGCGCGAACGGTTCACAAACCACTTTTGGTCAAATTTGTACGGGATCGGCGCCAGGGCAGATCGCAAGAGTTGGGCACTGTCCAACTTTGCCGGCGGTCCCTTGCGATATTTTACCGTATGATTTTGTTACGACTGCACTGGTTCGCAATGCGCCGGGAGAGGTTGCAAGAGGCCCACTCCCGATGACTCCCGGCGCGTACCGGCGATATGTGAACCAACCCTTAATGAATATCTCATAGGCTCTAACTGTACAACTTCTCAATAGATGCCATTCAGGAAAAAAGTATACCAAGAGACAAGAGTACATAAACGAAGCGCGCAGCCATAATGGGATGATGTCACAACAGAAATTGAAATTCCTGGATTTCATCACTTTGTTTTAGTGATACTATGAATACAAGCAGGATTCAAACGGGCGTTTTGCTATACAGTTGCAGCTAAGGCTGTGCTTACATGAGAAATTTCAACCCGGGTCGAGTTCAGCCCGGGTTGAAAGTCTGTACGATAGACAAAATAGGTGAGCGTTTACATGAAGACAGTTGACCCGGGTCAAATACTGATATGCCACCAAAAGTCCACTTCTAGAGTCCTGCATGGTCACGTGAATCCGTTCGCGCGAAATTTGCATGTGCAGTACTGTTCAAACCTGGCGCGAGATACGCACAGAAGTACGTTTGTACGATTTTCTTGACCGGGTTGATTTCAACCCTCCCCTTGGGGGGAGGGTTGAAATCAACCCGGGGCGAAATTTCAACCCGGGTCAAGCGAAATGCGTCATGTAAACGCGCCATTCATTTTGTGTGCATGGCGGGTTGAAACGCCTCATGTAAACACAGCCTAAGTTGTGCACATAATGTCACTTCCCGTCGCTCAAATGTATCAATAATGACACAGTCCAGCAATTTTGCCATGACAGACTACAGGAAAGTCAGAAGCTGCACACTCTTGTTTTCGTGCACTTTAGATCATACCCAAGGAAACTACACAGGTATACACAGAGCAGTGCAGGAAAGCAGGGCCTAGCACGGGAGACAGAGATTCCGAGAATACACGGAGTAATGAACTACATGCATCACCACAACTCACCTAATCTGAAGAGGTCTACCCATTAATTCTACTTGATTCAACAGCTTGATAGCGTTCATAGCTCCTTCACGACGATCCATCTGAACCATCGCCGCACCCGTCTTCTTTATTAAAATTTTAATCTAATCAGCACACACCAAATGCGGCACAGAGTCAGAACGGGTTTCCAAGCAATGGCTCTGTGGATAGAGGCCCGTTGTCTGCTCCAGAGCCGGGTTGGTGACCCGGTTGGGAGGGGGGGGTACTTGGACCCGTTTGGACAAAGAACACCGGGTCACTTGTGACTGAGTAGCCACACTTGAATGTACCCGGGACTGACCCGGTTGCAAGAGCTGTGCCAGGTACACGTGTACCCGGTTGGTTTGAAATCCTAGAGCAGGCACTGAGGTCTTCACAAAAAAAAGTGCTGTGCTCAAACCACTCTGTAAAGTCACATAGTCCATTAGTCTATGCTAAAGAACACTCACCTCAAATGACCCAAGCATTCTAGTGTCCATGAATAGGAGTGGAAATATTAATTGCACGACTTGGTTCAATGGGCACAAAACAAACCCTTCTACACAAAGCTGCTTTTCACAGCGTTTTCAACTGCGGTAGAGTACCGTGGAAGAGCAAAGAATAGCGCTGGCAGCATCCAATCCCGGAGCCGCAACGCTTTTCATGGAAGCAGCGCGTGGGCCCTACAAACACTCAATATCAGAGACCAAGATCCTGGTTGACATGGAACTATGCAACCAGGATGAAGCACACCAAGCTGTACAAAGCTCAGCTCAACAAGGCTCGAACGCAAAATGGACTTACATAAACAAGTGTGCTACATGCTTGCTTGAGATACAATATCAACGAATGTAGTGTACAAACTGCCCTCGGACACCCATAAACGCATATCATTTCTTCCACAAATTATCACTCACCCGCAAAATATTTCCATAAGCACAAAAGATGTTGAAGATCTTATCGCAGTTCATCCTGTCCGGGTCCAGATTGTAGACCATCAGAACAGCGCCGGATTCGTGGCAATAGGCACCAGTCATGCCATGCTGCACAACAACAACGACGACGACAACAACACATCCATATCAAACAGTGAATCAGGAAAAAGCACAGTGCTACATGCGCAGACTGCAGGTACACAGCACTTGTTTGTCGAGAACACACGTACAGGAATGAAGTGCTGACATATTCAAACAGCTGGATGGCACTTGGGCCAGGGACAGCAGCAACACGCCACTGAGTGAAAACAATGCTTGTCTGAAACCAGAGGATGTTATGCCGACATGATTTTCTTCTGCAACATAACTTGAATATTTCTTTGACTCAACATCCGAGCTCTAACTTTCTTAAATCTTGATGAAAATCATTCTTGACCGAAAGCACATTTCTGCAGCAGCAGCAGTGGCGCCTTACCCGATAGTTATCACCAGCAGGGTGGGGAAAGTCGGCACCGCCATACGTGGTGTAGTGCTGCTGAGCACCTGCCGGAGGCTGAATGTGACTGCCGTAACCATCGTAGCTGTAGGACTGAATGGGGCCATGCGAGTTTGGATGAAATACACCACTTCCTGAAACATCAGAGCACGGTACAACGAAGATGTCAGATTACAGCCAACTCATGGAGTTCCTCAGGCCACCATAAAAAGCTCACCACAGGTGTCCAAGGCTAAGCTCTGATCAGCATGTACAAGAAAGCACACAAGCAGTCAGAAACCGTTCGAGACACTACTCTAGCCACGCCACGCTTGGCAAAACAGCTATGTAACCCCACGCACTAACCTAAACACAAACACATACTTTCAAAGTGCTCTCCGAAAAACGTTCCAAGTCGCACAAACGTTGAGAAATATAAGTTATTAGTAGATTGACCGATCAGTCCCAGTAGAGTACGGATCAGATGGGCATACACATTCCAAAAGACACTGCAGGTCCAAACCAGCTTAGCTATGTTACAGTGGCTTCAGAATTTGGCCATCACCAGGTAGAAACAATGACGGTAATATGGGCGCATTCAGACTACCGACAACCCTGTCAAAACGTGAATGGCGATAAACCATGAAGGGCATTCGCACTACCGATAAACTAATGTTACTTGTGCAGCTCTCACCGCGGCACTAAGAAGGGATTTCCCCCTACTCCCAGCCTGAGCACCTTTTTACTGCCTGAATGCTGTTTCCGCCGCAGCAGCCGTGGCAGTAAAACGTTTCTGCCAGCATAGTGCCAGTAAGGTCACGTGATCAAATCACCTTGGACAATTTCCTACTCAGTCACTTTTTACCGGTAACCTGAACCGAGCAGCTTATATACGCAGTGTGTTCGGCCAATGATCTGTGAATTCTCACACCAAATGCTCAGCGCCAAACAAAGTGAATGCACAAAGAGTGGTAGCTAAGGCGCCAACAGCACCAGCCAACTGGAAATCACTGTGCTGTGAAGAAACGGCATCAGTAAAGACGTGGGTGATAATGCAAGTAAAAAAGGAGATGTGTCCTTAGTCGAGCTCAGGCTGTTGGCAGCTTTCTCCAACCATGTCTATGAAGATTGTTGGTGCAACACACTCTGCATATAAGATGCTTCTTGTTAGCTTGATAGCATTATTGTTTGTGCATGATGACGGCCAAGTACTGAAACGTTGTAACTTGTAATATAACAAAGCTGGTTTGGATTTGCGGTGTCTTTAGGAATGGGTGCAAGAAGCCCGAACACTTCTCTCGATAACTCTAATAACTCTCTTATTGGTGTAGAGCTCAATAGCACCAGGCTACACGCACAATGTTCACACTGCTAACCAGAGTGACCGCTAGAAACCAGTGACCTAAATTGAGAGAGTGTGCATATACGTTGCCTGGCCTATGTCCTCATCTTTCTTGCGCTTCATTTTCGTTGCCTGTGTCCTCATTTCTCTTTGCTTGCTCGTATTGCTGAGGGAACATACGCTGGTTTGCATTCGTGGACCCCTATGTTGCATGGGGGGGGTATGAGCGACCAGTAATAATACACGTCTACTCAATAACTTTTTTAAATGCCCTGGAACACACAATAATCAGCAGCCTACCACGTGGAGTTGGATGCAGCGGAACGCGACGCCCACTACCAGTGTAGTCCCAAGACTCCTCGTTATTGACGGAAACGTTGACTCGATCTGCCTGTGGAGCACACACCACGGGAGAATGAAATCAAGAGCAGAATGAAAGAGTGCTGGAAGAGACATGAAGGAAGCCACAGGGCTGTTAATACACAGATTTAGCAAGACACAGTAAACCATATTGAATCCACACATCATAATCCAGGGACACCAGAGCTGTAGTTCAAATACTAACAGTAGTCAATGGGGGTTACGCCGCTAACCTTGGAAAACTCGATCTTGAGAGTACAGCAGCCTGCGTAAATATCCGCATTGTCCAGGGTTTCCTTTGCCAGCACAGCTTGTTCTACGGTGGCTAGCGTGCACATGTTATTAAGGAAGATCTTCAGCATAAAGTAGACAAGAAAATGTGCCATTCCAAATGGATAATGTCCCTCGATAGCTCGATATACAGTAAGATCGGGCGCCGAAGAACGCAGGGGCTCGAGCGCAGCCTAGGAAAGTTCTTAAATTTTTGATTCTAGCCAGACCGTTCTTATTCACACGCGCGCGCGGCGAGTCGAGTGACATCATGACGTTTGTCATGTACATGTACATGTACATGTAGTGCAATGTAGTACTTCTAAACTAGTGGGTGTCGTAAATGGGAATGACTGTACATGTAGCAGTTACTGTTTACACGTGTACATGACATGTACTCACCTCCCATACATGTACAATGTATGATCAGTTAAATACTGCACTCATGTGGAAATTCCAAATTTTAAAAGTGTTCTTAAATCTGATAATTCTAGCCTGGACTGTTCTTAAATTTTGCCGGTTTTCCAGCCTGGGTGTTCTTCGGCGAGGTGTTCTTCGGCGCCCGATCTTACTGTACTCTGCGACACCAAACCTACCCGGATAAAAATCTTCCACTCCCTCCTTGCCAAACGAGACTGCACACATGTCCGTGTCCGTGTGTGTGCATGTGTGTGTGTGTGTGCGCGCGCGCGCGCGTGTGCGCCTATGTGAGAGCGTGGGTATACAGGCAGTTGTAATGAAAGCAGAATAGCTGAATGGGAGGATATTCAACAAGTGCCTGGACGCCGTTCTTGTGGAATATGGCAATACGCTGTACTTCACCATGTCGCTGGGCTATACTATGCAATACACTCTGCAGCAAAAAAAACACAAAAACAGCGACCAGTAAGTCTTCAAAAACAAGCAAATGGTCTATTTCATCATAAGAAGACGGAGCATCCAACAAGACACATTCACACAGCCGTAAAACGGGAAGCCCAGTCCAAATCACACCCTGTTTATCTTTGCCTCCCTTGAAAGAGAGGTCCAATGAGAGGGCCTGGGTTGTGAGAAACCGAGATGAATCGGACAATGGGAAGGCAGCAACATGTTGGGATCATGAGTGTCCAGCAGAGGTCGTGACTGAATGCTGAAAGGTCTCTGTTCGGCTGACGACTACAACATGGCCAAGTGGTTAGAGCATTGCTGGCCTATAGCAAAAGTCCCTGGTTCGAGTCCTGGTGGTGACAGTCTTTGTTTTTCAGACTTTTCCCCTTTTCATTCTCTCCAGCTGATGGGTTTTCGTATGAAGTTTGGACATAACTTAGTAGACATCCTTCAATGTATTACATGCACCAAGGTCAAGTTACAAACTAGTGTATGAGAAGAGCAAGTAAAGTGCTGACGGCTACTCACAGCAGTGATAGGGTACATTGGATTGAGGATGGTGAACAGCAGGATCTTATTGGGAGCATATTCTTGATGTGGTCCACCCGCTTGGCCAGCCCTAAAGCAAAACAGAGAATCGCGTCACAACACATTCTAGTACTTGTATGCATGGATGATGCTTTCTGTGATACTTTCTTCTCTCCTTCTCACCACCACCAGTATATAAAATTGGGACAGGAGTGCTTGGTTGCAACAACCGAGAACAAGATCTGTCAGAACAGTGTGTTTGCTTGGGACTGCACTCAAACTTGATCAGCCAGAACATAGAACATGTTTTACTTGCTCCGGCCTCAAGGCCAGAGCAATGGGAGCAGTTTTACTTGTTCGCACTGAAACCTAGCATGAACACCGATTTTCTCAGAACTGACCACATCCACACACTTTCGAAGCAACATCACGCCAATCACACAAGACTCCAGGAACAGAGCATAATTGGGGGGAACGGAGAGCCAACTTCGGTAAGGGCCCGGTCACACATGTACTCAAGTAGCGGTTCCGCTGAAGCAACCGCAGGAGCGGAAAATAAGATGGCAACTGCGAAAAGCGGAACTACCGCTCCAGCGGAAACTCAAATCTGCTGCTTCCAAAATTTTGGGAGCGCAACTCTCGCTTCTGAGGTTTCACTTCAGCGGAATATACCACGGTATGCTGAATATGGACTTGCTATGAGAAATTTGCATGTGTATGATGTCCATGAAACAAATATGTGTGGCAGACCTCGTCTATTTTCCGTACCGTATGCACCACAGTCCACTTCACTCTTCATTTTTCCGCCAAAGACGAGCTTGCCCTGTCTGTCATGTGCAACCATACACACGTGGTTCCGCTGGAGGGACAACAGTCTCGCTGCCGCAGAACCTCTCCGCTGAAGCGGAACCCTAGTGCATGTGTGACCGGGCTCTTACTCTGCAAGTACTTAGAACTTTGGTAACATTTGTCAAAATGTGCACAAGTCGGTTTGGTACAAAAAGTGCATGCCAGCAGCGTACGAAAACAATCATTTTTGCACAGTTCCCGCCAGTAGTCCTTTCCCAAAGACGCCATAATTTTTCGCAACTTTTGCTTTTCGCAACCGCCAATCCATGGTTTCCATGGCCGACTACCGAGAAACCATGAAAACGTGGCTTCTGTACCGTAGTGTGAATGGCCTATAGTGGGCCATTCACACTACACCCAAAACGAGGCGTACGTGACGTTTTCGTCTGGATAGCCATGACAACATCGAACGTGGCAGGGAAATCGTACCCCTGATACGAAAACGTAGACGACGTATCCAGACCCCTGTGCCGAGGTTCGTTCTGTCGTTCCTGGCCGTTTGTGTCCAAAAGAAGCTGTACGCACAGCTCTACGAAAAGCATGTACGTGCCTGTGTGAATGCACTTGCATGAAAACAACGTCTGCCAGTACGTCGTATTCCAAAACGTGACGCGTATTGTAACGTACTTCGAAGTACTGTATAAGAACAAATTTTCGTTCACGAAATCTTTCGTTATTTCACTCCACCAGCAGGCCTGTTACATACTAAATTTCGTTTTTGGTCGAGGTCTGTCACCCCCAACGTTCAGAATTGTTTTTAGTTTGGTACAAACGTTAGTTATTTCGTGCTCGCTAACGAATATAGCGAGAGATAATTCCAAACGAAAATTTGTACTTCTACAGTACAGTCGACCTACCCTTATAACGATAACCTCTATAATGATACATTACCCTTATAACGATATTTTCCTGTCAAACCAAATCACTCCATTGACTTTTGTATACTGTGCCTTACCCTTATAACAATATTGCTATAACGATATTACCCCTATAACGATATAAAATGGGCTGACCACTCGGCATTTTTCCATTTTATAACAATATCTAGCAGGGAATATGTAGAGTCCACTATCCAGGTAGGGCAAGCTTCACTTGATAAATCACTGGGACATGATACAATTCAATGGGGGCCCCAGTAATACCTTGCTGTGTACATAATGTGCATAGAACATACATGTACGTAAGTTTTGATGCTCTGAAGAGTGTAAAAAATGAACAAAAATCATTCATTATGACGTACGTACATGTATGAAATGAACCAGTACCCTTATAACAATATTACCCTCATAACGATATTTCTTGGTCTGACGCAAATATCGTTATAAGGGTAGGTCGACTGTAGTATGAATAGCTTATAAGGCTAGGCTGCTCCAAGACATGTGACGCACATTGTGCATTGCCAAATATGGAATGTATAAGTAATACATACGAGTACACTGGGATCAGGAGTGCATTGTTCAACACGCATCAACACTATCGCCATATGGGGCTAGCTGTGTAGGCCTATAGGGTGTTGGTGGCACAAACTACGCCGTTACGCGATTTGTACCACGTACATCACTCATGCACTCCATATTTGGCAATGTGCAATCCCGTTTTGGATGGTACCAACCAAACGCACCCTAAAGGTGCAGAGGTCATAGGGCATCTATTGACCTATAGTACAATGGTGACCTCAATTCTATTTTGGCGGGTGAACTCCAGCAAAGTGCAGGCTGGGGCATGGGGTCAAGAGGTCATAACACACTAGCCAGGAGTGGTGGCATGCAGAGTGCATATAATAATATTATATATGCGCATGAGGCCTCGAGGGGCGTGGTCAGCAAAAAATAAACTTCTGACAGGGTGCAGGATGGGCGAACAGAGCAGCAAAAGACTGAGCTCCAAACTAACTTTATTGGTAACCCTCTCACTGCCAACCATTCAAAAAATCGATCCAAGAGCTACGTGGATTGATGCAATAAAAATACCGGTAGATGAATAATGTTGCGCATGCTCAAATAATACTGTCGTACCATGACAAATGAGGGCTCTACGTCTTCAGGAAGATGTTACCGCGTTCACTTCTCGGTGGAGAATTGGCGTACTACAAAGCTCGAGCTTTAATATACAAGTGCACAATCAAAGTGTGCATTCATTTTTTTTAGCTGTCCTCAAACCGAGAATAACTTTGGTAAGTTTTTGCTTTCCTGAAATGCTGGGCTTAGAATTCCTTCGGATTTTACACACATATGCTTTCACAAGAACTTCCAAGTGGTTTTTCTGAGCTGCGATTTTACGAACCAGCGAGCTGCTTGTGACAGATCGCACCGCGCATACAACTGGCTGGAGTTAATGTGCCTGCTGATAATTCATTTCCAACACCCCCGAGCCTTAACAGAAATCCGGAACCTACACAAGTCCACGCACATTACGATACCTTTTGATGTTTTGGCTGAGTGAGAAGTTAAAGAATGCTGGTCTTCCCAGAAGCTGGATGTCATGATTCTAAAGGCAAATAGCAGGAACAGAAGTCACCGTATAGGACGCATTCTACTACACACAATTCCTTCCACTCTTTACTGCGCATAAACCGTTCTATTACACAACTTGCGTCGTTAGAATTCACGGAATCCAATTCCACCCATTCCGAAGTGAAGGCGGAATTTAAAATTCAAAAATCCAGAATCCACACGTGGTTTACGCTTTCTGGACCCCACGTGTGTCTGCTGTAGCTAGACTACTGATTTCTACAAATAATTGTTTACGTGAGTTTCATTGAGAGGATCGTGAGTGCAGAGTTCACAACAATTCCAGTTGCTAGTTTACATGGACGTAATCTGCTCATTTGAGGTTGTAAAATCTGGGCCCAGGCCGTGTAATCGAACGCAGCATTGATTTGCTAAGCAAACATTTTATTAAGCCTGACTTTCATAGGCATTTTCACAACATAGCTACAAATTCCATTAGCCTACTCAACCTCAACTGATGCAGAGTGGATTCCCTGAAACACTGTGTATTGAGCAGGGAGTGGTGCTTTCTTGCATGTTGGTAGAGTGGAAAGTTCAAAGGACTTCTTGTGCAATCTGGATGGCAGCCGCGAGTCAGTCAAGTGTCAAGCCAAGTCGGTAGGAAAAGCAAGAGCTAAAAAGTAGGGAGCAATACACAATTCCACTATTCTCGCTATGAATTGCTACGTCTAACTCACACCTATACGATACGGTACGAGATTCTTCACTTGGGGTGGTGCTTTCTTGTAGGCTTGCTCAGCGGACGGTTCGGCATGCTCCAGATGGCAGTCGAGAGCCAGCCAATTGTCAGTTACGAGTGCCGGCTAACGATCTACCAATGTACCCAGATCATACACAGTCAGGTAGTGTGATAGGGTCGGTTTTGGTCTTGAGGTCGCACTATCCGACTGCATTTGATCTGATTACATTCATGAATACAATGGGCTCGCCCTTCCAAGTTTAAATTTGCACACCATGAAATAACAATGTGACTGCAGAATCCGATGCGTGCCATTGCTTAACATGTCACATCCAACTATTTTGTGCCCCTCGATACCGAAAAATAGTTTGGCACAAGGACGATTTCATTTTGCAGGAGGACTTCCGTAGTGCCAGTTACTCGCCTTACAGCCGGGTGATATGTCCAAATTATGACCCGGGACATACTAATAATTATACAAGTCAACTTAAATAAATTACCAATTGAAAGATAAGGCCTTTCCATTTCATTCATTGGTGCTCCCCGCACACTAGTTTGTGCGTGACATGTGGGGGTACAGTGAGGACTACATCCCACCAGTCCGTGTAGTTTCACAGGAAGCAGGAGTTTCGAAGTCACAAGAAAATGTTGAACGGCCTCTGCCTGAATGACGAATACACCATAGCTCGGTGGCTAAGAGCATCCCTGGCCCATCGCAAATGTGCCCGGTTGGATTCCTGGTGGTGACAGACTATTCTTTCTTTAGGCTTTTTCCCCTTTTCATTCCATCAAACTGATGAATAATTGAAAGACGAATATCGAATTCACATTAAAATTCGCCACAAAATATCATGCAAAAATGTGATTTATTTGACCAACATTACAACAACAACAAACCAAGAATACATGTGAAGGCCATGTGTGTCGAGAAAGAAACAAATTGACGAAGATAAATAATACGACTTACTTTGTTAAACTGTACAAGGTTGGTAGCCGCCTCAATATCCTATGAGAAGGAAAGGTGCCACAAACAGGGACAAATATGGCATAGGACACATGAACCAAAAAAGGGCAGAGAGGCCGGAAACATTTCAATACTAATGATTATGTCAATGAGCAAGCATTACGGCGCTCGTCAAAAAACCCCAGCCCGATTCGACCTTCCAAGGAGTCATTCTAGATGAGAACACAATGCATGGTGTTCTTCAGTGACTTTTGAGACACTGCGTTGTGAGAAAAATAAATGCAAGTACTATTCCAGTGGAGGACACGGACAACAGCACGAAAAATAACACGCGTAGTTGGACAGGTAATTATTGGTCTCTAGCATTGCTTCGAGAAGTTGTCCAAGAAAGCTCCATTCCAGGGAAGTACAAAACAACAATTTGCCACACGTCCAGAAAATACAGCTCACGTGTCAAACGACTGACACATTTCCTCATACTTACCTCAAACTCAATCAAAGCTTGTCGGTGTCTGGCCATCAATGTGACATACCTGCACCACAAGGAAGCCAGAGACAACACGAGCGTGGGGTACACTTACCCCCCGAGGCAATACGACGTCTACACACAAGGAGCTAGGACTCACGTCACTTTCCCGAAAGACTTCACCACACCTATCAAGTCGTGCTCCCTTGTACCGTCCGAAACATTTCGTACATGAACTACTTGCGACGGCGGAGCACTGTGCCCTTCGCCAGGCTTCCTCCTTTTCAGCTCTGCCGACGATTCCTCGCCGGAGGCCCAAGTTTGAGGCCTGGTCGTCATAATGTACACTGCAAGGAAGCTAGCATCCACGACGAAAACATTTTCTTCTGCTGCTGCTTCTGATCTGGTTAGCTTGCGCATGCAGCATCCATACACAAACACATTTTCACACCTCGCGGGGAAATCTTTTCTTCTTTTCATTGAAAAAATTGCAACCAGCCTAGCCGAGTTCAGGCCCGATCACGTGCACAGATCGATCTGCTGACCACGTGCTCATGATTTTTCATGCACGGTCGGGGGGCGGGCCGGGGCCGCGGGGACGGGGGGTGGAGCACTGGAGCTGGGGGGTTGATTTACCGCACGCATGTACATGCATGTACATGTACCAGGGAGTAGTAAATACTACTCCCTGACATGTACATCCAGACCAGGCCAGGGCCCAGTACCCCGGCGCGTGGGACCAGGGCCGTGGGGCGGGTACAAGGCAACAAGCAACATGTGCCATCCTTGCGTATAATTATTATTATGGTATGATATGGGAGATTCCCAACATTTTACTGTCTGTGTGTGGCCAACTCAAGTAACAATTGTTACTTTTGAATGTAACTTGTTCGAACGTCGTTACTTCTCAAGTAGATCCACCACTGGCACCAGTACTTTTTTGTAGCTGTTCACAGTCACAGTCAGTCCCAGATTTGGGGCTTGTGTTGGCATGACCAATGCCTAGCGCTTGAGCTTGTGCATGCGATATGCCTGAGCTGCAAAATAATAATAATAATCTTTGTTCATTTTGTGGAGGAGAAAACGAAAGGCATGGACAGCTAGCTAGTTCTTCATGAGTGATCCTGTTTGTTAAATCACCTAAAATCACTGGTGTGGTACTGGAGAATCTGTTTGCCAATATGCCATCCGCAATAACAGGATATTTGTCGGAGGCAGTCCAGTTTGCGTGTGGAACACTTAGTGTACTGTGGTGCCTGACCATGTCTTTACTTTACTGGTTTTTCAACTGGTTTGTGGGGACATTACGATTATCTACATCTACAAACCTGAATGGAGACGTAGTTGTGATAACCGGGGCTGGTACTGGACTGGGTCAAGAAGTGGCTCTTCAGTTGGCTGCCAAAGGATGTCGTCTTGTGCTATTGGGAAAAGTGAAAAACGACTTGGCTCGTACTATGGAGTTGCTGAAAGCCAACGGTGTAGCAGAATCGGATGTGTACACTTATGGCTGTGATTGCAGCCAGGAAGACTGCATTCGGCAAACGGTGGAGCAGATAAAGACAGATTTACATGGGAAGGTGACAGTACTGGTGAACAATGCTGGTGTTGTTCATCCTGATCATCTTGACAGGCTATTGTCGTCTGATGTACATGACACCATATCCACAAATCTCCTGTCTCACTTCTGGGTATGTATTGTCATGCAATTGTAGAAAATGGTTTAAAATTCGTGTACTGCATGTTCGCATTGAACTGAACCAGCGGAATACTGAGTTGACTTCGAAAAGAGAAGATTTGGCCAATAAAGCGACAGCCCTAAAATAGATAGAGGTCAATCAATGAAACTGGATGTTTGATGTGAAATTACAACGCTGAGTGCTGCATAGTCCTAGTACATGTACACTGTATCATTAGTTCTCTCTTTTGGAGAGCCAGAGCACATTCCTCAGAATGTATAGACTCCACTGTAGCCACTTCATTTCTCACACAATCATACACCACTACCTACTGCTTATCCTAAAAAATAGTAAAGTACTATCCGATTTTGCGTGCCAGACCCATCTTCAGAAAGTCAGAGCACATGTTGAATTTCACATACACACCACTTACACTCATGTGCGACTGCTGCCAGCCCTAAAGCCTAGCAGTGGATGCCGTCCTTTCCTATGCTGGACATAGTACAATCTCAGTTGGGAGATAGCACAAGTAGAAATATGAGCACGATAGTCGAGCAGTGTGTGCTTATATATACCGTATTATCTCTAATATAAGCACGGTCCTTTATTTTTTCAATGTACCTCCGCCCCGTGCTATTAATGGAGAGGTTCCTTTATTGGAGACTGTTCTATTATTATTTCAACCTCATTTCAGAGGCATGTTGCCATGCCAAATTCATGTATGACACACACATTTCAGGGTTTTTTTCGCCGGTACAGATAATGAATTTACACAGTGTGCTTATAATGGAGACTGAGCACATTATTTTTTGAATGCCGCCCCATGGTGTTCTATTATTGGAGACGTGCTATTATTGGAGACTGTGCTTATATTAGAGATAATACGGTATGCAAGGTTTGTTTTATTGTCTGCCGTCTCCATGCCCAGTTTACGCAAGCTCTCCTGCCCACTCTGAAGAGGCAGCCCCGTGCTCACATTGTCTGCATTGGGTCCGTTGCCGGCCTGTTTGGAGCCAGTGGACTCTCATCCTATTGTGCCAGCAAATTTGGCGTGGTCGGGCTTTGCGAGAGTCTAGCAATGGACTTGCACCGGCAAGGCCAACATCATGTGAAGGTCACATGCATATGCCCCTATCACATCAGTACGAAAATGTTCCAGGGAGTCGAACTACGGTTAGTTCCTGTACAAGTTCGATAGGTTGGCATTGTGGAAATGTTCTGGTGGTTGTTTGGTGACAATCTAGCCCTGACATGCGCCCTAGACCAGTAAGGTGCACATACGATTGGTAATGTTTAGTGACTTCTATCCAGAACTGGGCAGTGGCCCTGTCGTGCTTGATTCTGCGAATGCCCGCCTGCCTGTTGTACTGTTGAACCACTCTTGGACGAGTGTGTTTTCATTAGAGCATTTGTGTGTGTGTGTGTGCGTGCGTGCGCGTGTGTGTACATGTGTGTGTGTGCGTGTGTGTGTGCGACTGTGGTGCTACGCTTGCTCACTGCTTCAGGTTCCCGTGGCTTTTCCCTGTGCTGGATGTGCGGTACGTTGGCCGGAGAATCGTGAACTGTCTCTTCTCCGAACGCCATCTCCTTGTCATGCCGCGGACAATGTACCTGTTGAGTTTTGCCAAGACGTAAGTGGCAGGGTTATAGCCAGAACAAAAATGACGGTGGGAGATCATTAGACCCAATTTTATGGTGATTTTGCCTGCTACTTTCACCGACACCAGTACAGTAGGGTTCACAGAAGCATTTTTGCGATGCAATGGCTGTGAAACCGGGAAATCCCCGAGTCGAATCTAGCTCGTAGCCCACGCAACTAGGCAGAAGTTGAGCTTGGCTCGACTTCCCAAATGCGACAAGCCATGTGGCATATGACTTTGACCTTTTCTGCAGCAAAGTTATACGAAGGTTCAAGAGTTGCTTGTAGATTTGTAAAAGTTGTACCAAGCCACACAAATACAATGTACCATGGTGACATACTCACCTGCATTGCCCTTCTCTTCCAAGCGTGGACAACAGGGCTGGTTCACAAGGAGAAGAGAATAATATTCAAGAGATCTTTGATAATTATGGCTTATCTAGTATGAAGTGTGGCTCAGTCTGGAACGTTACCACTCCTGTGAACTATTACCCGGTAGGACATGTTCTCTTGGCTCTTGCCAAGGATGTGAGAAGAGTCTATGCCACCTGTACTGAATTTGTGTTGTGCTTGAATGCTTCCGTTGTTCTGTGTTTTTACTTTTCTGCACACTTCAGCATTCTGCCTTACACTGTTATGCTCAAGGCGGCTGACTTCTTGGGCATCACAACGGCAATGGAGTCTATAGAGACTGCTGCTGCTGCTGGTAGGAAATATGATTGAGATGTACCACTGTGAGACATTCGACAATATTCCCCTCGGGTTATCCTTGTTACTCGTATTCCCCTCGCTCCAATGTGCTTGTTCATATTTTTATTTTATTTTTGAAAATATTTTTATTCTATACCTGACCATACTATACTGAGGCTCTTCTTGCATGCTATTACTTGAGTATTTCCCACTCGTATCCCAATCCTCCACTCATGATCTGTGTACGCTGGCGTCAAAATCTTAAAAATCTGTCATAATAATCATTATATCCATCCAGTTTCTTATAGCTCTCCTACTTTTAATAATTCATACTACAGGTACTTCGAGTATGTACCATGAGTACTTAACCAGGGGTGTTCAACTCCTGGATCTGCAATAGACTCTGCGTCATTTTCTGGTGGAACTATTTCCACGAAATTGGCAAAGGAGTACAGGTCTGCTCCCGAGATATCTCTCACTTGTACGCAAACCTTGCTAGTACGTAAAAAAAAGTCAAATCCCTCGCCGAAACAGCGTCGCTCCCACACATATTTTGTTCTACACAACGTAATCCTGCATAACGTAAACCTTGACATAACGCACTCTACGGCGCGGGCCCCGATGCACGCACTCTCAATGCAACGTAGATTCACGTGCGCGGTAAAACCAAGCTGTAGCTGTAGCGAGCCAGTTTGTCCTATTGTGCGTATATTCTGCGGCATTGATTGCATCTGATGTCGATGGTGGTACAGTGTGTACATGTTTGCATGGTTGAATCAGTCTTGTAATACCCTTCATTTTGAGGTACATCTTGTATTTTACACACAGTTTTCTACATAACATACCTCTCGGTATAACATAATTTTTGCGTGGTCCCAGAGATTTACGTTATATGGAGAGTAGACCTGTACTTGTAGTATGTTATCCGATAAAACTCGCCCATAGAGTGTCCGGCCGGTAGACCGAGGTGCCCGTAGGCTCGAGGTTCAGATAAAACAGACTATGAGAGTATGACTAAATGCAACTGACTCGCAATAGTCCGGGGGCCAAGTTAGGAAAAAGTCACGTCTAATAGATTTCGTTCCGAGTGAGAGGGCACCAAGTTTTTGCGATTTGAGTGTCAAGTATCTTCAAAATGCTGCAAGATGGTATGCCATTCAATCAAAATTTCCATCGGGAAGGTCATACAATGAAGGTGGAAAGAATTGATGATGGTTGCCATGGCAACAAATCAGTTAATTCAAATTTACAGGAGAACTATGCAATATTTTGACAATATTCCTGCTGGATATAAACATATCCAATACGTATGACTGGTTGGCCAAGTTTGACTGAAAACAAATAAACCTCAGGGCCTCAAAGGTGAATTATAAAATCGGATCTACTGCAACTATACATTACTGTACATACGTAATTAAATATGCATGCATACACCGACAACTGTACAAATATGTATATTGGTGACCAGTGTACATGTGACATCTATAAAGCCTTTTAGAAAATAGTTAGAAATGAATAGAGCAATCTGTGACCAATGGTGATCTAATGGATATACATGTACATGTATGTATGGCGAAGAGGAAAATGTAGAGGGAAACAGAGCACGCCAAAGCAGTTCTCTCTAAGTACCTATCAGTTGGTAGCAACAAAGAGGATCTTGTGGCATTCTTTGGTGGTGAAGTGGCAGCTCCCGGACAACCTGAACAAGGTGCCCCCAGGCAAGGAACTGGTTGTCACTGCGGGCCAAGAGTGCATAATAATTATTGTCAAGTCGGCTGGTGCAAGCATGGCGTCTACTGCTGTGGAGGAGTTGCTGTTAACCCAGGAAGCGGCTGACACCAGACTGCTCCTTCATGCAAGGCATGCAGCTGTCAGTGGGTATGAGACCGTTCTGATAAGAACACGATATACCGATGTTGCCATCATTGCTTGTTCTGTTAGCCATGTTATCCCGTGTACGTTGCTGGTGGAGGTTGGTGCAGGTTGGTGCCCCCCCCCCCCCTTTTGTTTTTTACTAAGGCCACAGCTTCCAATCATGACATGCAAAGCAGCGGTGCAGCATCGCAGGCATGAATTGTGGACGTGGTGACGGGGTCTGATGTGCTCCACCGACCTAGGGTCTCGGCTTCACTGCACAGCAAACGCGTCGAAAGAAAACGGAGGCTAATAATTATCGGGAGATGGGGGGGGGGGGGAGAAGAAGAGAAGAAGGAGAGAGAGAGAGAGAGAGAGAGAGAGAGAGAGAGAGAGAGAGAGAGAGAGAGAGAGAGAGAGAGAGAGAGAGAGAGAGAGAGAGAGAGAGAGAGAGAGAGAGAGAGAGAGAGAGAGAGAGAGAGAGAGAGAGAGAGAGAGAGAGAGAGAGAGAGAGAGAGAGAGAGAGAGAGAGAGAGAGAGAGAGAGAGAGAGAGAGAGAGAGAGAGAGAGAGAGAGAGAGAGAGAGAGAGAGAGAGAGAGAGAGAGAGAGAGAGAGAGAGAGAGAGAGCTGGGAGATAGAAGAGCACAGTGCTCTTGGTGATGGGGACTGCGAAGGATAGCAGGTTCTGGGACATGTGCATGGGAATCAGAATATTGGTGATGATGGCAGCAGGGTTATAAGGTAAGCAGCTGAACACTAATAAAAACAGGGAAAGCGTTGGTGAACCGATTCAAAGTGCATCAGTAGCAGAGAGCCAGTCCTGAGCAAGAAGGTGACGGTACGCCTTTTTCTTAAAGCTTTGCATGTGGGGCTGGGCGGGTGGGTGGTGGAACAGGTCTGGTGGCAGGGCATTCCATGTTGCAACGGTGCAAGCAGGGAATCCTTGGAGACAGCTATTCCGGGTGTTGGCAGGCAGGCCAGTTGTCTTCTGGTATGGATGGGAATCATGCAGCTGGAGAGACTGACGGGTAGGTCTTGTCTCGGGGGCACGGTGAGTGGCTGGTTTGGGCAGCATCTGCTTCAGAGGGCTGGATGCATCTAGATAGCAGAGCTTGTAGGTATAGGCAAGTGCAGCTACCAGGCGACGGAGTGCCAGGCTAGGGAGCCAAGTACCTGCTCCGATGATGTAGAGGGCCCTTCGCTGGATCTGGTCCAGTTTCTTAAGATGGGACGAGGGTGAGCCCATCCACACTAAGGGGCAATACTTGAGTGTGGGTCGCACAAAGCCGTTGTAGACGCGTTGGCGGCTCTCGGCGACCAGAATGGGAGACGCTCGCTTCAGGAAGCCAATCCGCTGGTTAGCACGGGAAGCTAGGGAGCGGAGGCGGAAGGAGTAGCTCAGGGTGTCGTCAAAGGTGACTCCCAGGAGTTTCAGCCGACTCTCTTCACTGACCGGTGTGCCGTCAAATGTTGCTCGAGGGAGCTCCCAGGGCTGGCGATGGTGGCCTATAGACATAGCCTGCGTCTTGGAGGGCTCAAATTCTATCCTCCACTTATGTCCCCAACGGGAAAACGCATCAATGCCCTGCTGGAGGAGCTCGGAGCCACAATCAATGTCAGCTCTTGATGTGAGGCAGTGGAAGAGAGTTCCTGGGTTAACAGCAACTCCTCCACAGCAGTAAACGCCATGCTTGCACCAGCCGACTTGACAATTGTGACTCTTGGCCCGCAGTGACAACCAGTTCCTTGCCTGGGGGCACCTTGTCAGGTTGTCCGGGAGCTGCCACTTCACCACCAAAGAATGCCACAAGCTCTTCTTTGTTGCTACCAACTGATAGGTACTTAGAGAACTGCTTTGGCGTGCTCTATTTCCCTCTACATTTTCCTCTTCGCCATACATACATACATGTACATGTACACACTAGTCAGAACAACAGATGGCTTGATCAGTCACAACAAAGTTTCATGCCATCTCAGGCATGTACATGTACATGTATATCCATTAGATCACCATTGGTCACAGACTACTCTATTCATTTCTACCTCTTTTCTAAAAGGCTTTATAGATGTCACATGTACACTGGTCACCAATATATTTGTACAGTTGTCGGTGTATGCATGCATATTTAATTACGTATGTACAGTAATGTATAGTTGCAGTAGATCCGATTTTATAATTCACCTTTGAGGCCCTGAAGTTTATTTATTTTCAGTCAAACTTGGCCAACCAGTCATACGTATTGGATATGTTTATATCCAGCAGGAATTTTGTCAAAATATCGCATAGTTCTCCTGTATATTTGAATTAACTGATGTGTTGCCATGGCAACCATCATCAATTCTTTCCACCTTCATTGTAGTAGTAGTAGTAGTAGTAGTAGTAGAATTTATTATTTTGATAGGGAAGGCCCTACAGACGTTGCCGTCTTGTTACAGGGAACCCTAAGTGCTCTTTACAGAGCGAAACAAAAACGGATAGATGCTCAACCTGACGACACGAGACAGGCAGAGAATTCCACCTATCAGCGCCAAGGAAAGAAATGGAGAACATGCCATATCTAGTGGTAGCAGCGGGCAAAGAAAGTGAAGAGAATGATTGCCCTCGAGTGCGCCTCTCGGTGCAAGTAGCAGCCGACTGGAGGGTGAACATTGAGGAAAGAAGAGGACTTGTAAGCTGATGAATACAGCGGAAAACAAAAATAAAAAGCCTCAAGTTGAGACGAGATTCGAGGGAGTATAACTTAGCGTGCCGCAAAACAAAGACAGTCGGGGTACGGCGAGGGAGACCAAAAACCTGTTTCATGCTGATATGACTTAAAGTAACAAGGCGAGAGTATAAAGATGGTGTAAGACAGTGAGCATACGAGTTGCTGGCGTATTCAATAGTGGATTGGATGAGGGATAAATAAAATATTCGCTTAGTTGTGTGATCTACTGTACGGCGGCAGCGGCGGAATGCTCCTATCTTCTTATAAACAGATGTACACACATGGTTGACTTGATCCTCAAAGGTGAGGTGTTGGTCAATAATGAGGCCAAGATAACGCGCTGTGGCAGAAGGTCGAATATCGACACCACCGCATGCAATGGTAAGATCCGGCGGAAGAGGCAGAGCCTTCTTCCGAAGCACCATGAACTTCGTTTTCTGGGCATTCAAGATGAGACCAATGCTTCCAAGGTACGTATTTAGTCTGTTCAACTCACTTGTCAACTTGTGCTGAAGTTCTCCAGTAGACTGACAGTGTATATAAAAGGCGATATCGTCAGCATACTGTTGGGACTCTGCGTGGCGAAGTACTCCAGGGACATGTCGCACGTACAAAGAGAATAACAGAGGCCCTAGCACCGACCCTTGCGGAACGCCTCGTGTACAATGTGTCTCGTCTCCTCTGTTATTTCCAATTTTCACCTGTTGTCGTCGACCCTGGAGATAGCTGGAGAACCACTGTAGTGCTACTCCGCTTATGCCAATAGCTTGAAGCTCGTTAAGTAGTAGTTCATGGCGTACCCGATCGAAGGCCTTGCTCATGTCCACGAGTACAACCCCGCAATACTCGCCCTTGTCCACACTCATCATCCAGCGGTTTACTGCGAGAGTTAACGCATCCTCACAGGAGTGCCCTCTGCGGTAGGCGAATTGCTCGTCTGGGAGAATACGAAGCTCAGCGTGATCTTGAAGGAACCTAATCATTTGCCGATGTACTACCTTCTCAAGGATCTTAGAAACAATCGGCAAAAGTGAAACGGGGCGATAATTCGACGCTTCAGATTTGTCCCCTGACTTGTGGACAGGACACACTGTAGCCAATTTGTAGACGTCTGGCACCATTCCTGTATGACCTTCCCGATGGAAATTTTGATTGAATGGCATACCATCTTGCAGCATTTTGAAGATACTTGACACTCAAATCGACAAAACTTGGTGCCCTCTTACCCGGAACGAAACTTCAAAAATAATCCCCCTGGCCCCCAGACTACAAGGCGGTTTCCTCTCATAGTACATGCACGGTATGTTCATCAGGATCAAGATGCTTGGATCTACCGTCTGTTGTTCTGCTTGAACTAAAAATAAATAACCAGAAGGTGGGGGCCAGGGATCAAGATGGGACACAACAACAACAACAACAATTCAAACAACAACAACAACAACAACAGCACACACAAAAAACTGCGTGGCGCAATGAAGAGTCCACGTGTTCGGCTTTGCGGGGTTTCTCGAAAAGCAGATTGATCCATTGCCAGTGTACAAAAATGTAAAAATTGAAACAAAAGCAGTCAACATTGGTGTAGATCTATGCCAGGAAGTTGTGAAAACCCGGGCGTATACCCCCTCCCCGGTTTATGAAGCATGTTTATTTGGCGACCATGCATGTGCAATCAAGGCGTCAAGAGTGCATACCATAAACCCGGAAACCGTTGCGATCTGGAAACGTTCGAGATTCGCGCTTTGAGTGTGCAAAGTAAGCCGGCGCGAAGTGAAGAACTGTAGTAAAAAAAAAATGAAATTGACTCCAATGGCAAATGTTTCCAGGTGCAAATTGGTCTGTGCTCCCAAACCGTGATGCAAAACCAGTGCAAAGGTGACCAATTTCACAGAAACTCACAGGGAGAGTCTGGTACTCTGGTGCAATGTAGTACATTGTACAGTCAAATTCGCTAATAACGTCTGCGGATATAAACACACAATTCGCGAATAAGGACAGAATTTCCATGCCCAGAGCATAGTCCTATCGAACTGAATACATAATAATATTATATAAATGAGACTTCGGGTATAGCAACACTTCGCGAATAAGGACACTTTTCTGATGCCCCGCCGAGTGTCGTTATATGCATGCAAAGTTGCCTGTACACATAACTGTACATAGCCATTGCCTGCACACTGCTGTGCAGGGATGGTCACATAAACAGCCCACCTCAAGTGAGGAAAGTGGTGTTGACACCTGCCTCTCCCCCAAAACGCACCATTTGACGCCCATCGCCGGAGGCGATGATAAAGCAGAAGCCATAGCAGCTTGTGGTGGTATCACACCATTCAACAGCTTGCAAGGCTGAAGAATTGACCGCCACTATTCAGCCTGGTCTACACCACACGGCTATGAAGTGGCTTTTTCTGGCCAGTGAATCCCTACTTTTTTTGGTCTTTTCATATTTTTTCCAGCACACACATCACGCCACATGCCAACACACACACACACACGCACACTTGTTGCTCACTGCCAAACCTGGTCACGTGGGTCTCCCCGGGAGAGAGATTCAAAAGGAATCTTGGAAAGATGACTCAATTGGCTATTGAACTGCCCAACGACCGATACCCCCTGAAATCCCCAAAACTCTGGGTGGACTTGAAAATGATCCCAACTTATGGGCTCACCACACCTCAGTAAGTGGGTGAGGACAAGGTGCAGAAAAAAGATTTACGGCTTCAGGGTATCCGTCCCGGGACCCAACTGCAGTTATCCCTGCCCCCAGTGAAGGTAATACTTGCTACTAGTGTGGGTGGCTAAATCAGAGTGTATCTGAGCTTCACCAGCACCATGATCACACAACAGTTAATCTAGCCAGAAGTAGTCCATGGTTAACAGGTATGTATACTTCAAATAGAAAGTATATGAACCCTGAAACCAACAACACACACACCATTAAATTTTCATTTTTTGGACCATTAGACACCCATCGCCGGAGGCGATGATAGCGATGCTACAGCAGAAGCCATAGCAGCTTGTGCTGGGATTGCACCATTCAACAGCTTGCAAGGCTGAAGAATTGACCGCCACTATTCAGCCTGGTCTACACCACACAGCTATGAAGTGGCTTTTTCTGGCCAGTGAATCCCTACTTTTTGGTCATTTTTTGACTTTTTGACAACACACACACACACCCACGCACGCACACACGCACACAAATGCACACTGTGATGAAAAGCTGTTGTCAGAAGATACGCATTCGAAAACTGATGGGCACAACACTTTACTGTCACCCGAACAACGGGTCTGGAACAGGGATGGCAGACATCCTTACAGCAACGTGTGCAAGAGAAAGAAGACAACATGTTAGGGCATTCCTCTTTGGCAGCGCAAACATAGCATGACAGTCCACATCAGTAAAAAGAAAGAAAGAAACAGACAGACGGAAAAGGACTGAACGAAGGAAGACTAGCACAGTACGAAACTATGAACTGCCTGGCATTCCATATGAACTGCCTGGCATTCCATGCCCTCCGAAGAAAACCAAAACCAAAACAAGAACGTACTGAGAATAGACTTTAGAGTGCACGCCCGCTTTGGTCGTGGGGACCTCGTGGACGTTCTGCAACGCACAACTTACTTAAAAAGCCGCGACGAGCGCCGGCACAGCATCAGCAGCAGCGGAGCTAGTCCAGAGTGGTACCACGAGTCGTGGCACAAATGATAACGGCGGAGAGCCGCAAGGTAAGAAGATGTGCTGCTGTATTAGATACAGGTATGCTTGCACGCTTGCCGGCATAGCATTTTGGCACACAGCGGTGTGCCACCAGCTGAAACGCGAGCCAGCTTGCTCTCCGCGAACGAAAACACCAACCTCACACCCGCGGAGCGCTGCGTAGTAGGACCTTCAAAGGTCATAATCGTCGTCGCCAAAGTCAATATCGTCGGTCTCCATTGACTGGAAGTCAACCCGATAACGCAGGATACCTGCATGAACAAGCGTCAAAAGCCAGTCCATACGCTGATATTAGGGACCAAAGTTATTCGCCAACATCAATCAAACCAAACCAAACTCCACTCAGACACCAATGCACACCAGATGCCAGGTATTTGTTTGAAGAACACGTAGGAGATATGTACTTGCAATGGCATGATTGTTCTGTTCACAACTGCCTATCATATACGACACGTTGAGCACACTGTACCCGCCAGGCTCTATAATTATGATAAAGTGAAATAACACTTTAGACATGATTGTGACATACCTCCAATGCCACCAAATCCTCTGCAAAACTGCGAGCCTTCCTGAGAGCGATCGGTGATGATTTCCAAAGTTGTGCCTGCAAGAGAGAACAATGAGATATTGCTTACTCCACACCTAAAAACAACAAGCATTGTAAGGATATCATTGGAACAAAATTACAGAAATTCAAGAATTTGACAAGAAGACAACACCGCAGCAACAAATAGCCAACATAATCTCCCCAGCAATACAAGCTTGAAAGTGCATTCTGCTGTGGACATATATTTTACGCCATGCTTACCAAATTTCTTGTAGTTGTTTGCCAGCCACTCGAGCAAAGGCATCTTCTCCTGCAGCTCCAATTCAACTCCAGTCTATCAGTGCACAATAGCAAAGAGGAAAGTTGATACCAAGGGATAAAGCAATCTTCAAACAAGCTTGAACTCCAGTGCAATTAATACCAAAGAGAGATAAAAAAGGACCAACAGCAGGAAACTCCAAGCCTTGCCATAGTACTATCAAGAGTATACTAAGAACCCAAGAGTGTGCAACTCCTGATACCCTTTCTATGGGGTACGTCGACGGCGAAAACTCATATCACGTGGTGCACTGTCGCAGTTGTACGCTTTCAGCCCGTTTTTAGCGAGCAGCGGAGTGATAAAAAAAGCACTCTCTGGCAGAAACTCACTGCGCGTATGCATATCCCCCGCATAATCATGGCAGATATTCGGATTCCGCGCACGCTATCCTTCGTTCGTACATAGTACGAAACGTATCTGAGACACGTGATGTGAGTTTTCGCCGTCGGAGACCCCATATGCAGAGTTGCACACTCTTGGGAGGTTATGTACTCTTGGTACTATGCACAGATAAAGGCTAATGCATTATTTCAGCAAGAGTACATACCCCCAGAGTGTGCAACGCCGATCCAGCTCTGCATAGGGTCTTGGTCGAGCGGAATCGGATCTTCTGATGCCATGCGTACACTCTACACCACCGCAAGGCCGGTCTCGAGGCAGGGCACCATTGTTTTTGATCCGAGAGTACTTGCGACTCGCCGGGTTCCTCTCAGATGTGTACGGTATTATGACGCAAAGATCCGATTACGCTCGACCAAGACCCTATGCAGAGCTGGATCAGGCGTTGCATACTCTGGGGGGTTAGGCCACAACAAAAAGATTTCGTGTTTCCGGTCGGCCGACCGGGTCAGTTTTTTCAAAAATTATGGATTTTTTTGGTTTACAAGTACAAAAAAACAAAGAAAAACAAGCAAAAACACTGAAAGCATTGTGTTGCTTTGCTCGAACCGAAATAAAAGTTTGACTGAATGCAGAGACGAAAATTCCGGAGCTGGAGAAAAGGTCGCCAAGAACGATGGCTGCTTAGAGCAGCCCGCTTTGTGTCCAGTGCTGACGATGGCTGCTCAGAGCAGCCCGCTTTGTGTCCAGTGCTGGCGGGGTGCGAAGTGTCTTCTTCAGCAAAGGATAGTTCACGTCTCCCATGAAACCACCTTGAAGGAGTTGTTTTGTAAGGAAGTGCAGCCTCGCTTGCCTGAGGACGTCACGTCTTTAGAGTGGATTGTCGCAGCTACAGCAAGCAGCAATGGTGGGGCAGGAACGTGGAAAGATGTAGAGGTAACTGAAACTGTCGGCCTTGTTGTCGAATTTGGATGCCGTTTCCTGGATTTTCGCTTGGTGGACGTAGCTCCTGCTGCCAAGCGACCGTGCCCTGACCGTCCCTCGGCATTCGATGTGCTTCTGGGAGCAGCAGCGAAGCGGGATCACCTGCCAACTCCAAGTGGGAAGACGTGTCTCATGTCTATGAATACAGCAGGGAAATAAACTTTCAAACCAAAAAATAATAATTTTCCGACCGACCGGGCGTATTTTTTTCGGGGGGTGCCGACCGGAAACACGAAATCTTTTTGTTGTGGCCTTATGTACTCTTGATTTCAGCAATCCAACGCAGGGCAGAAAACAGGCTTTGCAACCAAACATGTCCAGTTCAAAGCAAAGTCAAATGAGACACATAAGACACCAAATTCTCAATGTGTAGATAGAACAGCATGTGAGAGTAAATGAATATAAATCTACATACCTCCTTGTCCACAAATTGAGTCTTATCCTTTTCTTGGTCAGGGCTCAAGTGCAGAATCCTCTCCTCTGCAATAATAGAAAGTTACACCACAGGGAAGTAACAATACAACAATCATCAGCAAACTCCCACAGGACAATTACAGGACTAGAACAGATTTTAGCTCGACATGGAACGATATTTAGTCCTGCTTTAGATGAAGAAGGCATGAACATGAGTTGCAAGGCAGCCAGGTGGTTCTGTACATAAGACACAAATACCAATCAGGGAGTAGTATTTTACTACTCCCTGATACCAACCAAGCAAGGATCATGCATATGTACTATGGACGGGGCAACATGATTTTCCAGGACGAGAAAGCCTGCCTAAGTGCTCGCAGACAAAAGCAAATACCATAAGAAGCAGCCCTTTCCAGAAGAGTTAGCTGAAACCAGTAGCTTGTCTATAACAATGTTCTCACTGCAGGATCTCTGCGAGAGAAACCCCACAGCACAACAGTCATGGATATATGTCACATTTGTCTATGAGAAGCCAATACCAGCAGCCACAGCACATGCTGGCAGACAACAGAGCACCCAAATGCAATAACCAGTCGCTCACCTTCTGTAGAATGGTTGATCAGCGAGAAGCGTGTCACGTCCAAGTTTTCCCAGACAATGAGTGTCTCTACAGCACCCAGCTCCAAACCCTGTGGAGAAAATGAAAAATGACAATGACACAAAGAAAACAATTGACAGTGGCTCACAAAGCAACCAGTGCCATCACCATCCTACGAAAGATGCCACTAGAATCCAACTACAGTGCTGCTCAATGAAATCATGTACCGTAAAGTCGTGGATAAAAGCCGGGTTTGCATACAAGCACATGGCGGACAGAAGCCTGAAAATCAAACGGGTCAAATGCATATAAGCCCGTCGCGCGTAGAAGCCTGGCTTCTATGCAAACGCGGATCGGGTAGGTCAAGAGTGCATGTGCTATGTACAGTGCATAGTAAAACTGCCGCCATGCCGGTAGTCAGTGGTAGATCTACGCGTGTCGCGCGTAGAAGCCTGGCTTCTATGCAAGTGTGGTGCATATATGCATGGTTTGCATTAAAGCCTGATGCAGAAAGCGGCTTATGTGCTTATAAGCCCGGCTTTTATCCGCGACTTTACGGTAAGTCAAGTTTGCGACCTGCACAAGTTTAATCCCAGTGTTATCAGGTTTAGGGCTGGACAGCGTCCTGCGTGTACTACGACTTACGCAATAGGATTTCATGGAACAGCACTGTACATGTGCACTGACCAAAGGGAAAAAGCCACGGACAGGACCTGGTTCTAATACAATCAAACATGAACAGAAGGCCACAAATAGGCACACTTCGGAACGCACACGACTACTACTACTACACACACAGGAATTGAAAACGTACCCGCAACGTATCATCAACTCCAAAGCAGTACTTTCCAGTGTCTTGCGAGATTTCATCAAAGTAACGGCCTATAGAACACACATATACACACGCACACACACACACACACACACACACACACAGATTGCAATTAGGGGAATTGCTTCACATCGCAGGCCCTATATGCTCTTGTGCTGGGCGGGGGGCTTGGAAGAAAGCTTTCGCAACACGCTGCGAAGCTACAAACACAAGTGACATATCAGGAATAAGAGAAAAAAATCCAAGAGCCCACAACCAAGACTTAAAAAGTGTATGCAAGTGTGATCACTGTATATTAATATGGTCCAGCTGCGCATCACGCTGCCTTCATTACACCATGCAGTTTCATCTGCGAATTGCAGAAAATCAAAAAGGTACACCTTCCCAACAGGTTAAAAACTACCTTTCGGACTGGAGTGAAATCCGTACACCCAGAATGTACAGATTGGGCGGGACTGGAACGAATCAAGCAAAAGCAGGTGTGCTGGGCACGAGAGATCATGGGTCTCGAGGACATGGCTACAGGGCATGATGCAGGTAAGTGACACATTGAAGCAAGAGTACATAACCCCCCAGAGTGTGCAACGCCTGATCCAGCTCTGCATAGGGTCTTGGTCGAGCGGAATCGGATCTTTGCGTCATAATACCGTACACATCTGAGGGGAACCCGGGGAGTCGCGGGTACTCTTGGATCAAAAACAATGGTGCCCTGCCTCGAGACCGGCCTTGCGCTGGTGTGAAGTGTACGCATGACATCAGAAGATCCGATTCCGCTCGACCAAGACCCTACACAGAGCTGGATCGGCGTTGCACACTCTGGGGGGTTATGTACTCTTGATTGAAGGCAGCGCACCGCATACTGGCCCACAACCACAGGTGCATAGTCTTGGTTAGGGACTAGATAATATTGATCAGGGGCAAATCTCCCGGACGTACACTACAATATTCACCGAAAACGTCACTGTCAGCAACATACGTAGCCTTGCTGGCCTGGCCACCATGGTAGTGGATCATTTGAGTAATGTACAGAACTGCTCATCACCAGTAAAATAGATTGCACAATGTGCACATACATGCACACATACAGAAGCGGGAGCGCGCGCACACACACACACACGCATGCTTACCGATGAGTTTCTTCTCCTGAATGAACTTGACATTGCTCAGCACTTCAGCTGACAGCTCAATGGCCTATCAAGCAGGAAACACCCAACCCACCAGAGGGTAAACAGAACTTCGGTCAGACCACACTCACGAGCTATAGAGCTTTTTCAAGGACACACCTTTCCCGCCACCGCCTTGGCGATCACCCCGAGATTGTGGTTAACAGGTCGCATGTCAAAATGCATTGAAAAGTATACGAAATGTGACAGGTTTGTCTCCACCAGCGCTTGGAGCCATTCTGAAGCTTGTTCTTTTTGCCCAAGCCATGGAAGGCCTTCCTGGCAACTGCTCTGACTCAACACGAGCGTCGGACATCAAGTGGAGCGCCATTCTACTGTTTCTTTCACCTCCACGCATCCATTCCCATACAAAGTGAACGTGAACTGGGCTTCGCCTGTTCACCAGCGATTCAAATTTTTTCGCACGCAACCCCAAAAAGTGACTGTTGGTACAACCTTTAAAAAGCTCTATAATGTCTAGAGGCTATTCAAACTGAGTCGGGGTGTATAGTTCTAGTAGGTGGCATGTAGCTAGCGCTACACTAATTTAGAACACGGGTTTTACTACTCAATAGAACACAGGTCAAGCACATGGGCATGATTCACTGGAATAACCACTACAGTATTTTGACAGTCTTTGCACAAACCGATGAAGAAGTCCATGAGCAAGATTCAGTTCATATGGCAGCGTGCAAACCATTCAGTGGAGTTTAAGTACGCCTCAATTCAATAGACGGCATGGTAATCACTGGACGCCCGACGAGTCACAATACCAAATGAAAACTGGACATTCATTCTGTTTTAGTTGTCTTGGCTCTCACCTGGTTGAATCCGTTCTCGCCACCATAGGATACGTCAACAAGCTTGAGTATCTTGGCTTGCAGACGCTGAAGAGCAGTTATGACACAGACAGGCACTGTTAGCACTCAAACCACGGCAGCCAAAAGCACAACTGACTATTGCTCATACTAGTATACTATGAAGAACAATAGAGGACATCAGCGACGAAAGGAACAAAGTCAAAATAAGACAGCACGCCAAGTAGCTCTTTTAGGAAGGAAGACATTGACCGGTATGGCAACTGCATACTTACTGGGTCAAACATGTCTGACTGACTAAGCTCTGTCTTGAAGTCGGCTGAACCAGCCAAGATTAGCCCGGTTACATTGACCTATGGGACACAATAAGACATACATCATACACGCAGAGGTCAGGAGTGGCTCATTTCAGTACATATAATTATTAGCATCGTGATACAAGACTGAGGGCAAGAGAGAGAGAGAGAGAGAGAGAGAGAGAGAGAGAGAGAGAGAGAGAGAGAGAGAGAGAGAGAGAGAGAGAGAGAGAGAGAGAGAGAGAGAGAGAGAGAGAGAGATTGAGATAGAGAGAGAGCAGTGTGCAGAACCAGTTGCCAAAGCAAGCCCCTGGTCTCAGTGACCTAGCACAACGATATCCGTAGGTATACCCACTCAATAACCACGCAGCAGAGCTCACCAAATCGGGATTAGTAGAGCAAGCACAATGCTTACCTTGTCGTTGGAGATGAATAGCTGCACAGCTGTCTCAGCGACCTTTCGTACATAGTTGTGACGTTTCTCCATACGCAATCGAGCAAAACGAAGAGCAGACTGACCACCACGGCCTGTGCAAGGGAACAAGAAACACATATTCGAGTTAGCCTGATACAACAAAAAAAAAAGATAAGACAAGAGGTCCAAAACAACTGAAAAGTCTCTGTGAAGTGGATTACTACACATACGATAATAGCAATGGAATCTAGACAGAGTCCTTCACCCACCGTGCTTCTTGGGCAAGTCAACAGTGAACTTGTGTAGTACTTCACGGGAGTTTCCACACAGAATACCGAAAAGCGAGCCGTTACCGTCCATTACGATGAAGCCAAACTTGTTGTCATCAGCAAGCAGGGCGTTAAGTGCCTATCAAAACAAAGCATATAGAAACATATGCATTGTAAGAGGAATAGAATCAACCATGATGCGAGAGTATGGACGTGCTACTCCAGCACAAGAATAGACACTTGGAGTGTATTCCTGATTAGCTAACAATGAAGCCGACAAATCCCAATCCCAGCCTTTTCCGTACTTCCGAGCTGCCGCAGGAGAGCATCTATGGTGATCTCTGATAGCCAAGCCAGCTGTTAGCGACTGAATGAAGCAGCATGTTTACCATCCATAAACAAACTTTCTATGCTCTGCTGATGGAATCAAGGACGGGACTGGTACTGGCTGGTGCCTACTGAAAATAACCGCCGAGAGTTTGTCAATAAGTGCTCGCCGCCTGGAGGTAGAGGCCACAAATGACGTCGCTCCTGTCAGGGTAGAGAAGGTGCAATTTTAGCTTTGCTAAGCGCAATGTGATCGGCTGCCACCATAGTACATGTAATGTGATTTGCTAGAATCAAGACACTACTACTTGACCAATAGGTACATGTAATACCAAGAGTACATGGCCCACAAGAGTGTGCAACTACAGTTATCGGGCCTGCAACGGGCCCTAGGCATAGCCCGATTTTGCTAGCAATTCTGCCAGCAAAATATCGAAGAATTTTGAAAGGGAATTTGCTGGCAAAACGGAGCAAAATATCGATGTGTTTGCTGGAAATTGGGAGATTTTACACTTATACGGTCCACGTGACTCATTTTCGCACAGTTTTACCAACACATGACTCACTTTTTCTCGTTTTTGCCAACACGTGACCCACTTTCGGTCAGCTTTCCCACACGTGACACAAATTTTGGAGCAAAATATCGAGTGGCCTGGCAAAATGAAAGCAAAATATCGACGATCAGCCAGCAAAATTTTGCGGCAAAAAATCGAAGCTTCACTGGCAACATCGGGCTTTGCCTAGCAACGGCACGACTTCACATCACGTGACAAACCCGTACACATTATTTGCACCCTGTGCATGATAGATACAGTGTTATATGCAACCCTGCTTTGGGTTCAACTCTCTGCTGGTCACTTTGCACTGGTTGCCAGCATGAACCTTTGAACTACGTAACGTGACGTGAAGGTCTGCCTCCGCAGCACTGGATAGAGGTTGTACCGTAAAGTACCGCGAGAGCATCCCCCCCCCCCCATCCCGTCCTTTCACGGTCGTCTTGTGGAGGTGGTTTCCTGTCTGTAGGTCATACGACAAGGACCATGTACACACAGTGCACGTTGTGCAGTCAATCCGTACCCAGTTCACCTTCGAGCGGATGCGAGCTCCACATAAAAGCATGCCAAGTGTGACCTTAGTAGACTAAGATTCTCACACCGTACAAACTTAGTAGCACTCTGCCATACGACTATCTTCCCTTGGCTGTAAAATCAAGGTGGGGCGCTCTCGCAGTACTTTATTGTACACGCAGTTACTCTTGGAGGTTACGTATTCTTGGTACTTACTACAAAGGCAAGGAAGTCAAGTGCGAACAGCCAACACACTACGCTGCATGCCCTAGACCTTGCCGATCATTTTTATCAACACACTGCAAGCAACTAAAACCAAGTGGTGTACGCTCGCAGGTTTATCTCAACTCACCTCTGTATGGAATTTGTTGTCGCACAAGTAGAGTGAAGTGTTGATGGGCTTGAAAGGTTCGAAGTCGATGTTGACCTTCTTCTCTTTGCCTTCATCGGTGACAATAGTTCCGCAGTACACCACTAAGCCATTCGTTGGAACTGTAGCAGCGATAGAGGAAATACAAAATGCGTTATAAGGAATACCTGCATCGGTAGAGAAAAAAGGCTGGCACCCACAAGGTAGCTCGTGTATTCAGACGAGGGAAAGGAGCAATTTCAGGTGTGCATTTTGCTCCAGAAGCAGAGAAAAACTAAGCATACAAGAGGAATATATTGTCAAAAAGGGAGACATTTAATGCAACAATACAATAAAGGAATAATTCTCAACACTAGTTACCTAGCACCTCACACACACTGGTAATGTTAACTTTGAAACTCTTTACCGTTACATTTTATTTTACGTAACTGCTGTAGTGTCTTGTATAAAGCCCATTTTGTATAGAAGCCTGTTTTGAATACAAGCCTGATTTTTAAGATACACTGTCAGCACATAAGCCTAGTTTAGTATTGACATACATCGAGATACGTGGTTTGAATAGAAGCCTGACTTGAATAGAAGCCTAGCACTGATATCGGCTTACACGGCTGTAAGCACCTGCTTTTATACGCGACATTACGGTATGTGATAGAATCATTCCCTTGCTGCTGTGTTGTTACAATAAACGTCTTCCTTTTGACAATATATTCCACGTGTGTGCTTTTTCGAAATTCATTGTGGTGATCCTTTCCGGAAGATAGCCACGAGAAAACGTTCAAATCAACTAAATACAATGCTGGTCATAGAAGTAGCCAGAGTGGCGAATGGAGCTCAGTGGCACTTCAACATCCTATGCTGCTTGCCACCCATATTCCCTTTCGAAAGTGAAACAAATCACTGGGAAATTTTTGGGCAGTGAGCTCGGATAGGACAGTTATGCATGAAAGCTGCGGCGGAGGTACACCTTCTTTGGCCCACACGTACCTTTTGAGTACAGCTTGAGTCTCTGCTGTACGGATGTGATAGCACCCAGTACAGACAATCTGCAGGTGCACAGAACAAAAGAGCCAGAGATGAGTTCAGTGGTGGCATGTCCATAAGAATAAGCAGTTTAAGCACACAGAAAATTATGTTTGCAAAATCCTAAGAAACATATTGCCATCGTGAGGTGGCGTCGACGGACTGTCAAGCAGCACAACTATAAAGTTACTTTGGAGTATCATTATTCAATATTTAATATCAATGTCAACCTCCGGATCTAGGAGGGAAATGAAGCCAGCATACGTGGCCAGTGATCCTGCCCGTGCAGAATCCTCACAAACACGAATTTTTAAATGCCACTGCAACACACCTGCTCCCTCCTTCAAACCCGGCAAATATTTTGATTTCGACAAAAAAAGATTCAAGGCCTCTAATTTGTTTAACACTATGACTCAATTGGTGACATCTGCAACACACGTGCAATTATTTGATGAGATGAGGTAGGCAGAAGATTGCTTCCTTACCGATTGACACGACTCTTGATGTTCGAAGCAGTACCGTACTCGTCAGCCAACATCTTGGCAACACGAGAGATCTGATCCTTGGGTGGCACGATCAAAGAAATCATGCTGGTGCCATTTCTGCACATTTCCACAACACATAACGAAATGCATGTGTCACATCTATGGTCATGCTTTCAAAACAGAAGTGTGTGTCCTCATTACAGCAGTGCCGGTAGTACACTTGGAGTACTTGAGGGGAGATACCCGGTGTTACCTTAGCATGCATGCTCATGAGCAGACAACTTCAAAATGGCACAGCCAACAGCAAGCATTCAGAAGAACAGACACTGTCACCGTTCAGGGATTTATATTGTACATGGAAAGCTAGGGTGATGTTTCTGCCCCAATTACTACAATCACAATGCATGTACTAAAAGGTAATGTTTGGGGAAGTAGCAACTTAGATGTCTAAACTGTCATGACTTAGAAGAGTGAATTTCTATTGTGAACCTGATGCTCTGAGCGTACGATGCATTTACCCCAGCTTCATTGTGGAAAGTGGCAACAAGCAAGTTGGCACGAAAACAAGATGCTTGTTAATTGTCAACTTTTCTACTTTTGATTTACTTGGAATCAGTTATAGAAACAGAGGCAGAAAATACAATGCAGTCACATGCATCTTCTGCACACAGTTAACGTCCCGGAGACAAGCTTAGATAATGGGACCTTTCGCTTTTCTCAACAAACAGCCTAGAACAGGCAATGTACAGACTAATAGAAGGGAAAAGGGGTTCAGCAGACAATTCTATTAATCGATAATGCTGATTTGTTAGTTTGTTAGTTTCTCAGCAATAGCCCTTGTTGCAACCACCCCTCTACAAACGCTCCAACCACCCCGTTCGGCATTGGTTTCTCACATCAAGGTATCGCACTTATCGACAACACACATAAACACACCACAAAGACAAGTTCTCCCTTCAGGTGGCAACCCAATAGCAAGCTCCGAGCCCTCCACAAATCTAACAGATTGAGTAATTTCAGCCCGTACCCTCGTGCTGCTTCCAAGCTCTTGATCAATTTCTTGATCTTCCACCGTTCAACATTCTTGTCCGATGCCTCTTCTCCATTGGAGGCCATGACCAAAGTGAGAACAAAGGCTTCACCTCAATACAGCCCGTGGAGCAAAGTCAGGCCCGAAACGCAATTCTACAACCTCAGCTGGCAAAGGCAGAACTCTCGAAGGGCCACAACTGGCGGACAGAAAATAGGAATGGACACCACCGCCTCAGCAGTTTCAAACAAAATCGCTTCAAGTTTAGTTCAACGTGATGATGATCAAGTGCATGCGTTACTTTTCCTGCATGATGGCCGGCCACGTCCAGATAATAATTATTTTTTCGAAGTTCCAGCATTATTCTCCGCCATCTTGGGTCTCGATTCTGAGGATAAAGTTAGTTGTCATGGCGAAATTCCCAATAGGCTATATAAGGGCAAGCTTGTCATCATGGATTGAAAAACTGATTGCAGAGGAGATAGAAATGACGATCGTACTGAACAGCTACACCATGCCGATCAGAAAGATATGACCGTGATTGCAGTCAGTGGAGGCCAGTCATCATGCCTTTCATGGTCTGCATGTCGATCGACAGGTCAGGAGGGAAATCAGGGAATCATCGACATCAGTACAGTCTCTGACTACGCTGTCGTCATTACAGTAGCGGAAGAGGATAGCATGGAGTGAGTCACCTTGTTGGAATGTCAATACTACAATGTACAGTGGTTACAATAAGTTTCACTGTGTGGACATTGGACATGCATCAGCATTACCATTAGTATTAAGCTAGTAAGGTGGTTATGTACTCTTGCCTCGGTAATACAAGTACATGTACAAGGAACTCACACAAGGGAATGGTCTCAAACTGCGGAGAGTGCTCAATGCAAGCGAGGCAGAGCTTCATCACACACAAGCGGAAAAACCGTCAGAGATCAAATTTCATTACACAGTGTTTCAACGGTGAAACACTGTGTAATGGAATTTGATCTCTGACGGTTTTTCTGCTTGTGTGTACAAGGAACTCATGTACATATACTGAAAGGGAGAAGTCGCGGTTATCCTGCCTGTGTAGAAAATTTATAAACATACACCATGCATGCAGTTTTACATGGAAAAAAACACTGCCTGGTTTGGAGGAGAGAATCGTAGCATCTAGGAAGACAGCATGGCACGATCGTGATCATGGCCCGGGCCAGCGACACCGGTATAAATGTGAGTATCAGGGAGCCAGAGGCAATAACTGGGTATCTACAGTGTAGTTCCGGTTGAAAGTTGTAGTGTAGCCTGGCAGCACTGGAGGTTCTGCTGTGGTACAAGGAGCTGTGCCCTGCTGATGATAGCAAGAACCCGTATAAACAAAGTTCAGTGCGCTGCACAAACCAGGGCGTACTACAGTAGAGTCGCGCGCTGAAGAACGTGGAGCCCAAGAACGTCCAGCCTGAAATGCTAAGAACGCCACAGCCTGAAGCTAAGAACGGCGGTGTTGGTTTTCTGGCAGCTTGTGGGATACATATGATCCAGTACGGATTGTTTCTAAGAACATGCTATAAGAACGCAGCCAGATTGCTGGAAAAATAAGAACGTCCCAGGCTAACCCCTTGGAAACAACGTTCTTGGACGCGCGACTCTACTGAGTACTGTACATGTATTTAAACACTGTATTTTATAATTATTTTACTGCGCCCTGGTAAAATGACCCATCCCTCACCCAACATATCGTGAATCATTGGACTGTGCGTGAATATGGTGAACACATGCAGCTCCATTTGATTCAGGAGGTCGATGTCTGTACATGACAAGTGCTGGTCTGTGAAATCCGACCGCTTGCTTTAGAAATGTACTGTGCTGTGTGTTGCATGCCATGGAGCACATGAGCTGAGTTGGGCGGCACAACTGACACTTTACTGTAGTGTAGGGGGGGGGGGGGGGGCATCAAGGTCTGCTCGACTTGGAAGTTGGAGTGGAGAAACTGAGTGCGCGAGTGATGGGAGATCACCGGCTATGCAGCACCACACAGTACACATGCAGGCATACTGGTCATTGAAATCCGACTGCATTACTCATTTAGCAGTAAACTGGGCATCATGCAGCACCTTGCCCCATTCCCAGGCTGTGAGTGTGAAATACTGGGCTGTGCACAGGTGCAGGGCGCTGACATACTCGTCCACGAGCCCAGATTTCATCCACTACGACTGTATGGTCCTGTGTGGAGTATAACAACACGAAGGGTGAACCATTCTTATGCCAAAGTAGTTGAGTATGAAAAACGAGGTAGAAGTAAAAAATACTGAAGGGAAAGAGTTATGAATGAAGCCTTCCACTCCACATTTGATAGTTGGCAGTGTCATGAGTAAGCACAGCTAGAAGACTGCGATAGTTATGGAATTATTCGGCCTCTATTTCGTGGAAAGAAAAGAATATCATCAAAGTCTAGCATGCAATCAATGGTTTCATGACGAGATCAATACGATGATATCAGGTCAGCAGCGGGGTGGTCAATAACCATGTTGAACAGAGCGTACTGATAAAGCAATATCCACTCCATTTCCATTCAACTTGGCATGCTGGTTGAAGAGCAATGGTGACCCACGCTGGCCAGTTGCCAATTGTTTGGCAACAAATTTCGGCAGGGGCTGCATAGCACGAATCCGGTCACGGTGAACTTTGCCGGCAAGATTTCTATGGCCAAGTTCATGGAACCATAAATGGGAGTCCGAGCGAAGCTACTGGCATATCTGAGAGAGGCGCCAGTGAGCATAAGTACTTCGATGTGGAAGCCTGCGCAGAGCTATAATAGACATTGCAATACGGCCCAGGCGATTCTCAGAATTGACGCTCACGTGCCTGCACGTGTGAGGACAGCGGTTCTGGAGAGCTGATGTCTGGACTTTCAGGTGCTGCACGGCAGCTACCTACAGCCACTCATGTTGATCGACATCTACTCGATCATGTACACTTTCCACGTACTATCTCTCCGGTACAAAGATCTTCAGTTTCTTGGGTAGCAGCGTGATCTTCACGGACTGTGCTTCGTACATCTCTCCATCAATGCTGAACCATGATACCTGTACACAACCAGATGGAACACAGAGCAATACACCAGCTGATGTTAAAACAAAACGAAAAAGAACTTAATTGTTGCACTAAGTAGTCACAGTACAAGTACATGAGGAGATAAACAAAGGGAGGAACGGTTAGCACCAAGTACAGCTTTTGAACAAAGTACAGTCTTCCCTTTTCATTCTTTTGTTTTGGCCTAAACTAACTTTCTAGTAACATCATCCAGGGTACGAATAGAGAGTAGCATGCGTGTGGTCATGCACTTGGTCAGCACTGCATGTGCATTATTGTGCAAGCTACCTTGGAGTACAAGCTGAGGGCTGCAAGAGCCCGGCATTGCTTTTGACTCGCCTTGACGGATTTCATTGGCCAAAAACTATACCCGAAAGAATACACGAACATGCACACATTGCAATGCTATACTGTTTGTTGCTCCTCCTCACCTCGTCCTCGGGAAGGTTGAGTTGAAACTCTGTGCCAGTGAGTTCAAATGCTGTGGGTAAATCTAACACCCACATGTGCCCACATACACACAGCAAAAAGAACAGTCTTAGGAAGCACTAACAGTATCCTGCAATGGTATCCACAAGTGTGCATGTGTGTGTGCATTGTTGCCCATTCCACTGCCCGTCATGTGACCGGTGCTTTCGATCTGCTGCTGGATTTAAACGGCACAATTGCGAGCGTGGCAAGCGACCAACAGCGAGGGAGCGTCTTGAGTTCAAGTTCTGCTGTGCGTGCGGCGAGAGACATCGCAGACAGCAGGATCTGCAACGGCATGAGGCCGGATGTTCTGCCGCGACGCCGCGATGCTACCCCTTTGTTCCCCTACTCATGAGGGCAGCTTAGCCGTTTAATTAACGGCAGCTGTATGTCAAGGTCAAGGTGTGTGTGTGTGTGTGTGTGTGTGTGTGTGTGTGTGTGTGTGTGTGTGTGAGAGAGAGAGAGAGAGAGAGAGAGAGAGAGAGAGAGAGAGAGAGAGACACACACACACACACACACAGAGAGACAGACATACTCAAGACTAAGGAGAGACAAATGACTGTGGATAGTCCAACTTCCAAACCCCATTCTGTACCTGACTGCATGTACTTGTAAAAAGCGAACCGTGCTGTATCCAGGCCCACGTGCAGCATCAGTGCATGCATGCCCACATACAGTACATTCATTAGTGCATTAGTTCCTGCGGCCAAGTAGCACGGGGAGAAATGGATTTCTTGGGCCCCAGCTGCACTGCAGCACTACGCATCTCAAGTTAACCCTATATGCAGGATTAGCCTATGGCTTACCTTCTGTTGGCTGACGAAGAACGTGTTTTCTCCAGCTATCAGACAGACAGAAAACATGCTATTTTAGAGGCCAAACCAGGTTGTACAAATTAAACGATACTTAGAGTAAGAAGGTCACTCACACTGCACAAGTTGAGAAAACATGTACTGTAAAATCACGTGTAAGTGCTCCACCTGGTATGCGCGGGATTTCCCCAAAGTATCTGGAAGGGACACTATGCCAAGGCAGAGCAGCTAACAGTGGAAGCTGGGTCCAACAGCACAGCTATCGCGGAAAGGTTTGACGTGGTAGGTAGGCGCTCACCAGCGACTTTACCAGTAGCCTGGTTGTGTGCAGACACAGGGAAGTGGCTTAAGGTAGCTCGAACCACTTTGGCCCTGAAAAAACTTTAACAGAAGAATAATCATTTCCACAGTCCATGCATGCAAGAGAACAACATAGAACAGAGAAAACAGCACTTCTTCTGTAAAAGTTTTTTTTTCACCTCCAAAGTGGTTTGAGCTACCTTAACATCAGGTAGTGTGAGCATGCGAGCTCATTTTTTTATCCGCATGATGGCTGCACCATCGTCAGCAGCAGCTGCACCACCATCTCTAACAACAGCAGCCCTAGCAGCACATCAGACTTACAATAGCTACAAAGGACTACTCACCCGTAGCCAATGAACGAATTCTTGTTTACGTTTGCCGGCCAGATTTTCATCGTTATCTGGTCAAGCTGCAATGAACATACAAAACAGAGAGCAAGGCACAGCACTTACTACCACGGTGCAATGTGTTGCACATGTACAGTGAAACCTGCCTTCAAATCCCCCCCCACACACACCAGAGCACAAAGAAAACCAAATTCCAGGCATTCAGTAAAGGACTGTCCACAAATACCAACACTTTTTTTCAATTTTTGTATTGCTTTTCACCCCCCCCCCCCCCCCATCGTACACACCTGCATACTGCCCACTGTGCCAATAGTATTTCTAGACGACAACAATACTTCCCAGCTTATCGAAAAAGGGAGCAGCAGTTCACCCCTCTAATGGAATTTCTTTTCGAAAATTTTTTATTATCAGACGGACCCAAAGAAATAATCAGGAAATAATGTTTGCACTTTTGAAACAATGGACTGCCCTTACTGTACTACAGACACACATGTGCAGCACTTATGCAACAATTCATTTACGATGCAACTTTCACCCGTACCTTGTCATCGGAAGCCAGTGGAGTGCAGACTTGGAGTGCGGCCGTGTCCACACCTTGTCGCAAGTCAGCCGCCACCGTGCTGGCTGCACCCGGTTGGTCAGCACTTTGTTGTGCCTGCGTCTCCGGTACTGTCACTGAGATATGACGTTGATGTGGCCAAGGTCCCTAAAAGACGAGAATACAATATGCCATGTCAGAAAGGAGGCACAAGGGGGAATGCATTGCTATTGAGAAAGAAAGTCCAGTACTTTACAGGATAAACCTTTCCACATCATTGGTCAGCATGGTAGTCAAAAGTCAACATGGCAACACAATGCAGGGTCAAATCGATGCAACCGCACCACCCCCAGACCAGGGTAAAAAGGGCCAATGCATATGAATGCAAAGCTAGGCTCAGGAAAGGAAAGCTCACTTTTATCGTGCGCCAGAGATACGCGGAAAAGCCACGGAAGCGACCGGTCCACCAAAACCTGACGACAAAGAAAAAAGGACGAAACCTTGGTCGTGAAGCATACAATACATGCATTGCAAAACTCACGAACAATAGAACACCAGAAACAGCAGACAGAGGCATAGCAGTTTGGTTAGACGCTATTGCGATAAAAGAAGATCAAAAGGTTTCCACACAGTAAACCAAGCAAAAAATACCTACTTGTCCAGGGTACGGTCCGTATCTCGAAAGAGGCCCCACTGTAGCAGTCCCACTGAGAACACGGCTGGTTGTGACTTGTTCTGCAGCAGCAAATGATAATCAGCCATGACAGCACTTAGCAAGTACAGCCAACTTCGCCTATAACGACACTCGGCGGGGCATCAGAAAAGTGTCGTTATTCGCGAAGTGTCGTTATACCCGAAGTCTCATTATATATATTACAGTTAGATGGGACTTTGCTCTGGGCATGGAAATTCTGTCGTTATTCGCGAATTGTCGTTATATCCGCTGTCGTTATTAGCGAAGTTGACTGTAGCATACCTACACATAGCCCACCTCTGTCTACAGGAAAAAGACAAGTCGAGCCTATACAGTAACAGTGTATAGAGCACTAACAACTGGAAAACGTGTATTTTGATCTGTAGCATCAGAAGAGTTGAACAAGACGGTCTCAGACCCCTAGATTGTTCTTGCACAGCAGACACAAAAGCTAAGTTGCCTTGCTAACCTGCCTACACTGCACTAGTCCTAAACGTACGGAGTGCTAATGTGTTAACACTTGTTCGTAGGACGCACACCTACCTCTGACTTCAACGACATAACATCCAGGGGTTGCGTCTGTCCGGCGACTATTGAAAACGCTGCATCACAGAGTCGCCTGCAAGGCAAACACAACAACACAGTACACACAGGTATCAGCCAGAGAGCTAGGATAGGGAGACGGAAGAAGGGCGGGTGCTTTTCAGGACTGGTTGAATAAACCTCCCCAGTTCACACGCTATTCTGCCATTTCCAAAAAAAAGAAGAGAGGACAAACAGCGGCTACACTAAAATTAATCATGATTCTGCAGGCATAGCTGGTTCAACCTTAACATTCTATTCCATATTGCAAACAATCAAGCTCCTTATACATACATAACACAAGGACGACCAGTGTTTTCCAATTCCCTCCGAGCACAACCTTACCTGACATCCGACGCTTCCGATCGGAAGAGTTTGCCTGCCAGGGAATTACTCTTGCCCATTGGGACAATCCCGATCGGAACACTCGCAATGCTCGACTACAAATACAAAGAAAGCACAGCCAGCACACGGAAAAATTGCAAATGAAATCCAGTGAAAAATCCAGTGAAGTCCAGTCACTACTGAGTTCAAATCCGCGCAAGAGCTGCCAAGCAGAAGTTGTGTAGCACAAATCCGAAGCGCTCTTTCCAGAACTCTGAAACTAACTTACTTGAGCTGAGGACGTCCAAGGTGAAGATTGCCTGAAGAAACGTAAGCTGGAATCCGAGCCAAGTCATCGCTGCCATCGCCTATGCACCAGGTGCTGATACATCAGCCATCTATGCGGGGTACCAGCAGTACTGCATTGCCAAGACGCCAGGCGCGGACTGATGATCATGATAAGAGATGGAGCTCTCTTTGCCAGAGCAATTACTTTGCTGATTAAACAGCGTTCTTGTGTGCCTTTACTATTTGCCAAAATGGCATTAAATGCCATTTCGGCAGGAGTTTTCTTACTGGCATTACTCTATCAAACAGGAGGCTGTAATTAAAAAAAAGAGTAGAAAGAAAGTGCGGCAGCTGAAAGGCCGGCATGGTTCCTACCTCGTCTGTGCGTCGTAGCAAGCCGGTAACAGCCTCCTGTATGGAACCATCACCACCAGCGATGACAATGCCACTTAGTCCTTTGTCCATGTAGCCCATCAGTGTTCGCAAGTGACCTTCATACTCAGACTGTGCACAATGGAATAGAACAGACACGCGGATAGCAGAACATTGGCAACATCACGTTCAACATACTCCACAAGTTCTTGCGCACCGAATTTCACGGGCATGGCATCAAACATATTGCTCAAAGGTGAAATCTGCACCAGAAATCCCTACAGTACTAGCTAATGGGTGTGTGTATAAGGCTGTTGGCATGACTTCTGCAAAGAGATATTCCTGTGCAGACTTTAAAAAACCCAGCGAACCACTAGAAGCAAGCTGTTTACAATAGCCAGCATGAACACAACTGAAACACGGACAGTTTCACCCGGAGTACTAATACGCACCTCAACAACCGTGACGTCAATGCCAGCCATGTGGAGTATTGGTGCGACGTTCTTTTGAAAGAGCTTGCGGGGATTGCTGACACAAACAACAACACAACAATACTAAGGGCATGAGAGGTTTGCTAGTGACATAACAGCTGTAGCGTATTCCTAGGGACAGATGTCCACCATTGCACAACAAAAGGATTTACATGCACCATTGCTTTCTGAGTGAGTACATATGTGTGTACTGGTACATGTACTAGTTTATTGTTACATTGACAGCATGAAACTAGTTTGTAGCTGAGGTACTGGATACAACACATAACCAATGGGGTCAAGTGATGTCATTACATTACCAACACCAGTGGCATAAAAGTTAATAAAAACCGACATTTTCAGCTTGGCATCCACTCAACCTACCCACGGTCCACAGCAGGATTCAAGAAGACCATCATACGCCGATTGTTGTCTGTGGGATGCGACAGAAGCTCCTCGCTGTAAACCTACCACAATCACAAGCAAAACACGCAACACACCTGTAGTATCTTCATAGGGTATTAGCAGCACAGCAATCAAGCACATATATTATACTTTGCACAGTTAGCTTTCTACAGCATTGAGGGTCGTGCAAGAACATGTGAGTGTACTCGAAAGTTCTTTCGATCTCTGAACATTGACGCACAAGTGACAGCTAGCTGCTAATTCAGTATGTACTGGCAATTCAATAAAAAAGGAGATAAAGCGACAGCAATCTCACACTTTCACCTACACACAAAGTTACATCTACACACACACACACACACACACACACACACACACACACACACACACACCATCGAGAACTCTGCATAGGTAACAGCTAGGTGGAATGAGGCAGAAACGCATGTACCTAGTGATACAACAAATGTCGTATCCGAGAAAAGGCGAAACACATTTTCTGATGTGCAAATGGCTACGAAGGTGTGTCCGGGTTTGAAGAAACAGCTCTTTCAATTTCCTCACTTTAAAATCCGTCCATTTTTGAATTCAAATACAAACGTTGACACTGCCATGCGCGTGCATGATCATCGGCATCTGTCATGTTTGGTCTTCAGATGTAAGTTATATTGTTTCACGCGTACACTGCATGTACAATGTATTATACTGAATACCGAAGTACTGCCAGTGCGTTCAATAGGTGACTGGGAACCTGCGACTTAGTGTACAATGCTGTATCTACATAGGTGTAACTCACCTTTGCACGCTGGCAGTACGAGCGTCTAATCAGATGCGCCCTGCAGATACGATATTGTAGGAAAGTAACTGTAAGGCTAAGCACTGACTACTAGAAATTCAGATCTGGCAAGAGAAATCCTTGCTTGTCGATGCCAAATGAATTCAATAGTTTGAGGGACTTGAAATGAAAGGGAAAAAGAGTATTTTTTTACCTGAACCTATCGATTCCATAATAACCACCGGCAACGAAGACAATAGCACCTGCAGTTGACTTCTTCCAGTGCAAACGTAACGTGTAGAGAAGACCTGGGCCCGACAAGATAGCCATTATTGTATCCACAAAGCAAAGACCACAATTACAAGGTGACTTGGTGGAAGTATGAAAAATTAAAATTCTAGTTTACAAAAATAACTGTTTCTACACTAATTTTTAATTTTTTGATTGATTGGAGTCTGGAAATGACCGGTCGACCTGATTATCATGATGACGTGAGAGTAGGGCCTTGCATGCAGCCTTGGCGGCCGAGCACACGCGAGATCGGCTGTGGATTCAAGCGACGTCTGTATTTTCAGCAAGGCTTGGAATTAGTTGGATTTTTGTAGTGGCACTGGCATTTCCTTGACCTTGGTATGAATGAATCTCCCTGGTTCTTTCTGTTCTTGAACTGCACACCACTGTCACTGGCAGTGGTACCGGCATGTCGATCACCGCAATGAGTAGTCCTGGCGAAAATCTTGATGTGATGACGCCTAGAGAAGCGCGTCAGATGTTTCGAAACGGTACAGACAACCACTTCCCCAGCACGTCAGGAATGTGCATGAAACACCTGCAAGCCAACCTGGCCATGATCAAGAAACAAAACGCCGATGACTTCAGACAGTACTGTCGTCAGAATGCTGCACCCTGTCCGCTTCTGTATTGCTCGGAGCCTGGCGAATATGCAGCACCACCACTGGCGCAGGATTCTGATGTCCGGTGAGTCCCATGGCATCCACGAAAGTGTGTGGCGGCAGCATGCGGGCGGAATAATCGGCATAGTCACTGTGCTATGACATTTTTTTTAATTTCATAAAGGTATAAAATTATAGAGGTTATGCGATTACATCACCAGTTGAGATGCTTCGGTGAAGTCTCGGACTCGCGGCACAGCGCTGCACTTGCACTAGGGACTCACGCCGCATGCATACAGTGTCTGCTCCAGAGCCGGGTAATCGGTTGGGCGGCGCTTGTACCCAGTTGAAAATATAGTACCGGGTCACCTGTGACCCGGTTGGTACTTTACACGTTCGAACTTTGAAAGGACTGACTACATGGCTTGTATGTGTGACAGATCATGCAGAGGCACGCGTCGAATACATGTGTACCCCGCTCCGACCCGGTTGAAATGGTTGCGCCAGGTACACGTGTACCCGGCTGTCCTACAATCCTAGGGCAGACACTGGCATAGCGCACATAACATAAGCGAATCCGCTGACTCACGCTGTATACTTAGCGCCCATAAGCGGTTCCGCTGACTCACCCAACGGAATCATTCACACAACCTCTATAGTCTATAGGCAAGACATAGGTCATCAGCACTGCTCAAGGCCCAGTCCTGACTCGAGCATAGAATTTGATGGGAATGATTGGAGGTGGGACTCACATTTTCCATCTCTAGATAGAGATGGTTGCACCTCTGATTCAATCATTGACAATTGATGGGATCAAGAGTACATAACGGTTACGTACTCTTCATGCAGTGCAGTCTCTCTTGCATTGCCTCTACAGTGCCGATGTGCAGCGTTATCGTGTGTACAAGGATGGCAAGATGACGGTCGTTCCCAGCCTTGCAGAGTATGCATGGGAGGACATTGTGACGTTCTATCTCGGCTGTAGCTTTGGCTTGGAAAACTTGCTGCTGGCACAGAATGTCCCCGTCCGTCACATACAGCAAGGGTCGAACGTACCAATGTTCAAGACGAGCGTTAGAACGAAACCGGCCGGTCCGTTTCACGGTCCTCTCGTGGTCTCCATGCGTCCAGTGCCGGAAGAGAAACTGGCCGACGCGGTGAACGCGTCACGCCTGTCCCCGCTTAGCCATGGCATACCGGTGCACATTGGAGACCCGGCGTGGATCGGTATCGATCACTCCACCACCAGTGATGGCACCGCCGTGTTGACGAATGTAGTAGTGAGCCAGTTTGGCGATGGTCGTGTCCAGTGTCATGCGGATGATGTACAGGTGTTCTGGGCGTGTGGAGTCACGTCGTCCGTTGCAACAGCAAATGCTGGTAAGTCCCGGGGTGATGTGGGTGGCCATCTGAAACGCAGTCTGGAATCTGGAAATGCGAAAGACTGTGTTTGTCTTGTATGCATTGCATAGGCAGCATTTACTAAGGGGAAGTGCTTGCTTTCACACTCATACACACACACACCACACCTCACCTTAGACCTGCCCTTCGCGGAAGCGATGATAGTGAACAGCTATGTTACACATACACTCTCCTGCCAAGCTGCCTGCATGGGTGTATGGAACTACCGCACAAGACCAATTGCAATGAAGATGTTTTGGAACACTGGAGGCTGCTAGAACACTTCACAGACGTTCCCTACTTCAGTAGAATCACATGCCTTGCGGAGGGCAATAAAGATAGGCAAGCCCTTTCCTTATGTTCTATGGTCTTTCCGCACACACACACACACACACACACACACACACACACACACACACACACACACACACACACACACACACACACACACACACACACACACACACACACAGACACACACACACACACACACACACACACACACACACACAGACACACACACTACTACTACTACTACTACTACTACTACTACTACTACTACTACTACTACTACTACTACTACTACTACTACTACTACTATGTACAGCTACCCTATCGGGCCACGCTGCTCCCAGAAGCGGGAGACAACGACAAGAAGAGAGAAGAGAAGAGAGAGAAATCGCAAAGTCAACAATATTTGGCATGGCGTTGCAACACACACACACGCACACTTCTGTCTCTCTTTGCTCGTTCTGCTTCAAACAGGAATGGAGCTGTGCTTCACACATGATCCTGGCTCAATGTTCATCTGCGACAAGTTATCAGTGCCGGACACAACCATAGACACCAGCCATCCAGTGGAAGTTATCAAGTTCACTGCAGCACGTCTTCCTGCTGTGTACAGCATTCTGGCACAGGACGTGTTGAAGCGTATCCAGTGTCTGGAAGAACTAATACTGCGGGACCCGGGCCAGCGGGGCGCTCACCATCTCCTGGTTGAAGGCGATCTGTTAAGGTCTGCACTGTCCCTGTCTTCTCGCCATAGGCGAGTTGTCGTCGCCACCGGATTCCCCTGTGTGCCAGGTTAGTAACACTCACATTGATCTTTGCACCATGCTTTGTTTGCCAATACCACCTGGCTTCTGCAAGGTGCATTTCCCCGATTCAAGCATCCACACCGTTGAACTTGTACCTGGTAGACCCTTTGCATGGCCACTTTTCCTTGGCGTCAGCTGTGCTCCTTGAATGGTCATCGGTCTGGTGGGCTGTGCTGTGCAAAATTAAAATCACGTCCGCCACACAACATTTTTGAAGAGACTTGACGTAAGTTTTTCCAATGCGAAACTTATGGCATTGTGTCTTTCTTTCGTCGGTGTATAATGGAACAGTTCTTGGGAGTTTTTTCAAACGTTCACAAGGTATGCTTGCATGCTTGACTCATAGTTGTATCCAAGCTCTCCCTTTCTTTCTCTCTCTCTCTCTCTCTCTCTCTCTCTCTCTCTCTCTCTCTCTCTCTCTCTCTCTCTCTCTCTCTCTCTCTCTCTCTCTCTCTCATAACATACATCATCTAGAGCCACCACATGAGGAGACGGATGGTCTGCCTGGTGCGATTGCACTTATTCGTGCTGTTCAGGCATTGGGTGCTGATGATGTGGTGTTATTGTGTGACGTGGATGTGGAGAGCCTTTACCGAGAGGTAGCAGAGTTTTCCTATGCCAAGGGAATCCTGA